AAGCACACAAGAATTCCATATTGTCACGAATTGCAAGCGGATTTGGCTGTGTCGTACACTGAGCATTGCGAAAATACTATGTTGCAGTGTTTTCATGTACCATGGAACCCAAAAATTTTTGCTTTCTGCATGGATTCTTATGCTGTAATTTTTGAGAAAGTTGTGGTTAAGGTGGGATGCTGGAAGACAAATCTTATGCATCATGTAAATCAAAACTTGCAAGTTGCACGGACTAGACTTGGCTGCTGGGCTGGGCCGGGCCAAAGCAAAATTGAAACGGGCCGGGCCGGGCCGACCTGTTCCGGCCCACGGGCCGGGCCGCAACTTTCGGCCCGGGCCGGCCCGGCAAAATTAAAATTCTGAATTTTAAAGCGAAAAGTTGGGTCGCCAATAAAATTAAAACGCAAAGCCAAGAATGGGGTCTATATTTTTCATACAGTAAGTATAATTTTATAAAAATAAAGCACGGAAGTACTCAAAAATGGCTAATAATAAGTAATTTTACTAGTAAAATCTATTAAGTACTAATGTAGATTAGTGTTTGCAGTAATTTTTTGAACAAAAACTCAAAATAAACGTAACCGACATCCTTAAAAACACAATTAAGAAGTTGTGTGAAGCAACGCTATCATATTGAAGTTGAAAACCTTGTTAAACGTGGTTCCACCTTTGCTGAATCTGTAAAATTGATCTTGGGGCAATTTTTAACAGTCTGAAAACGGATCTCGGGAATTTTTTGATTAATTTTAAAAAGGCAATGCGTTGGCAAGTAATTTTTTGCTTCAAAAATGTACTGTTAGTTGTTATAGTAAAGGAAAATATGCCACATCTAATAGCGAATTAAGGTTTTTTACTTCTTCTCAATTTTCGGGTCGGCCCGGGCCGGCCCGGGCCGGCCCGGGCCGGGCCGCGGGCTGGGCCGGGCCGGGCCGATGAAAAATTGAAACGGGCCGGGCCGGGCCGACCTCTTCCGGCCCGCGGGCCGGGCCGTGATTTTCGGCCCGGGCCGGCCCGAGAGCCAAGTCTAGCACGGACATCTTCTGGTATTAATTCATTTGAATTCTTCGAAACACTCAACTTTGACATTAAGACTTCTCTAAGCCTGCAAGTTATCGTTGTAAACAGGATAAATACGCAAAAACACCGACCCTAGAAAACGACCTTCCCAGACAGAAAAACGGCTTATCCCTTGTGGTACATTCTCTCCTGGATGTGTAGGATGATACATCGAAAACAATTTAAATACCATGGAAAAGGAAGGTGATAAAATAACAAAGAAAAAGAAGCGACATAAATGTCATAAAAAGATGCAATATGGTTTGTAAAAGTCGTAGGCGGTCTGTTGTTTTTCCTCACCATTTTCGTAGATTAGAGAGTTGCAAAGGCTGCAGACAAGCTTAAGCTTGTTCCTACAATGCCAATGTAATCCCAGTATTATTTGATTAGGAGGGTGATTAATTTAATGGATATCGGAAAGTTCAAGCTGTTTATTTACTCTGCAATTTGACCTAAGAAGGTAATAACAAAAGGAAGCAAAAATTTTGAGATTGAATATGGAGAAGCAAATAATTTTCCAAAGATACCGTTTGGCGGTCAATGAGATCAGACAAAAAAACATAGCCGTGGTGTAACAAGACACACTTGACCAGCATATTTTTTACGTTACACCAACGATTAATCATCATTCTCCAAACGTTGCGCAAAGTTGTTTTCAGTGTAAGCGCTCACGTTGATTGATGTAATGTCTCCAAAAACTGTGCCCGAGACTTGTTATCGTTTATGCTGTGGACCGCAACATTTTCACTGTCGGGCATGGCTTACGGTGAGTATAAAAATGGAATTGATTTCAAATTGGTTTACACTATCTGTTGTTTTTCACGGTAGTTTCATTCAAAATCTTCCGGGTTAATCGAATAATCAGCACGTGTTTTAGCGCACATATGCCGTTCAACCCCGTGAGGATTTTGTATAACATTGTAAAGAGCTTGGTAAAGCTTGTCTACTCCAGTCCAGGCAAGAAGGTGGAATTTGGAGTGAGTGAGGACACTCCGGGGCCTTTAATAAATGCACCATGTGGACCAATCGAGGGATTCGTTCATAAAACTGCAAAGGGAGACACTCACTGCTACCTTGGAATTCCATACGCTGAGAAGCCTGTGGGCGAACTCAGGCTTGAGGTAAGGGGAGGAAATTTGTACTCTCTTACGGTAGTCGACGCTATTCACGCAAAAAAATTGCAGCTCCCTCGGCCAGCCAGGCCTTGGACCTCAATTTTGAAGGCGAAGCAATTTGGTTTGGTCTCAGTACCCCATCACGACTGTGGCACAAAATGGGAATATAGCGAAGACTCTTTAACCATCAGTGTTCTGACGCCTGCTATCCACAAACCTGGAGGGTATCCTGTTGTCTTCTTCAGCCATCCAAGTGCTTTTTCTCTGGCCTCTGCAAAAACCATGAGATATGAAGGGTTTTGCGAGAACATTGTGGCTGAAGGCTGTGTTTTTGTGATGTTTCAGTACCGCTATGGCTATCTCGGATTCGCATCAACCGGGGATGCGGTTATGCCTGGAAACCTTGGGCTTCATGATCAAGTCTTGGCGCTTGATTGGACTAGAAGAAACATCTCCGCTTTTAACGGAAACCCATCGAGGATAACTGGATGGGGAATGTCGACCGGCGGAATAAGCGTATCTTTGCTGGCAATATCACCCAAAACCCGCGATTACTTTGTCGGGCATGTTCAAAACTCTGGCGGGATTCTGGAGCCCAGCTTGTTTGGAAATCATGTTGTTTTGGAGACAAGAAAGTTAGCTAGAGCTTTAGGATGCGTCTCCGAAGACTCTGCTGAAATAAAACGATGCCTAAAGAAGGCGTCAATAAAACAGTTGATGTCAGCACAAGAGAAGCTCGGGATTACAAGGGACATGTTCAAATTCCGTTGGGTTCCGCGGCTGGATGGCGATTTGTTTCCGGAGGATCTGCCCGAATTGATAAAGAAGGCCCGACCAACACCGTGTTTCTCAGGCTACACGAGCGACGAAATGTTGTATTTCTGTAGGTTCATCGTTTCCCTTACGATAAGTTTTCATTCTCAGATAACGGATTCCTAAAAGACGGAGCCAACCTGTTCATTGACAAGAATAAAAGGGAGAACTTCGACGAGGAACAACTTATTTACAATGTGCGAAACCGACTGTTTACTGAAGAAGATTATGGACCAAATCACAGAAAAATTGCGGACATGGTGTTGGATTACTACATTTCCGAACAATCTCCGAAGCACAAAGATCCCTTGTATTGGCTGAATATCGAACAAAAGGTAAGTCAGGTTTTTGATTTTTCCATGAAATGAGAAAAATTACACAGTAACCAAGACGATTTTTAAACAAATTACAGAAGCATTTGTTTCTTTAAACGTTTGACGGATCCTTTTTCTGACACTTCTTGTTTTATAATGTAAACACATTCACAGAAGTCTAGTATAGACAGAAAAAAATGCTTTTGATTTTTGAAAAAATGCTATTTGACTTTGCCGCGACACAATTCATTTCCTCAGCGGCGATCGATGCGACAGATTGCTTACTATCAGTCAGTCGGGAAAATAACGGCGGATTGTCGCGACTCGGAATCGCCTATCATCGCTTTGCGACTTCAAGCCGCGGCTGGGAATTTGGTGCGCGATAGCGGCGAGGCGAAACATTTTGATGCGACGATCCGCCGCTATTTTCCCGACAGACTGATATTTTCGGACTGATTATAATTTGCAAAAAATCCGCATGTCGCACCTAAAATCTCGTCCCGACTTTTCGGGTCGACGATACTTCGGGTTAACATAAAATTGATCGAAACGAGCGTAGGGCAGGTGGATATTCAAAAGAAGGCTTGTGCCAACTGCCTGCCAAGCCTGGCAAAGCCGTTAGATTGTCGGCGGACGCCCGGCGAAGGCTCGACGGACGCTTGGCGAACTCTTGCAATATGTCTATTTTTTCTAATTTTAGCTATTACTAACGTTAGTTTTCTTTACCCTGAGTTATTGTAGAATAAAAAGGCCAAAATTTGCGGCAAGGAACAAATATCCGTCACTTTTATCTAGATATTATTGATGTGAGAACGTGTAAAATACCTCAAAATAGGTGATAAGATAACATAGGACCCAATCAATCTTATTATTTCTACTAATTAAGCCATCTCCTAGCCTCCCCTATGCATACAACGACGAACCGACGGGATCCATAGTATCGTTGATCCCTGTCGCTGACCCGAAAGGTCGTAGCGCAAAACAAATCACTTGATAAAAGGAAAGAATAAACCATTATGTTGCAGCTCCTCTCTCATCTCGCTATCCTAGTGCCAATGTACATGGAGAACAAGCTGAAAGCCGAGGCAGGGTGGCCAGTTTATGTTTATCAGAACGCCCATTGGAGAGAAGGGCATTTCGATCCGAAGGATAAGAACGCAGCGTTCCGTGGGTGTATGCATGTCAGCGAAATGAAGCAATTTTGTGGAGCACCGGTCCCAACCAAATACGTCATGAACGCAGAAGATCTGAAACATAAGCACGCGCTTATTCAGAGTCATCTCAACTTTTTCAAGACCGGGTGAGTCAATAGCTCTTTCTCGTAGCAAAATCTCAACATTGCTAGAGGCAATATAATTTCCGTGTTTCCAGAAATCCAAGTTTTGATGACATTGAATGGCCTAAAGTAGACAACGATAGTTTGTGTTGCAACGTCTCGCTATTGCCAAATTCGCGAATCAACGACAAATTTGTGGGTGACCAGAAAGCTCTGGAATTCTGGTTAAAAATGATCGACGAGTTCGGGGATACCGTAATACGAACAATTCATGGCGCAGCCATGTAACCTTCGAATACCAAAAAAAATTCTCTGTACATTTGAAATACACTTTCCCAAACTTGTATGAAATTCAAGAAAAAGCCGAAAAAATAAAAATTAAGGGACTTCTTTATTCAACTCTCAGGTAGGAACGTATATGGTACATTAACAACATGGATTTGCTCCGTTTGAGTGGATTCGAGTGGCTGTTTCGTTGAGCAGCTCCTTGACAGCAATATTTTGAGCCTCGTCGATTGGCCGGCGTCCTTGGTTGTCGAATACCGTGGGATCGGCGCCGTTCTCACAGAGGAACACGACTACTTTCTCCAAGTTCCGATGAACTGCCTTAAAATCAATTTTATTAACATTAATTTTATTTCAACTTGTCTTCAAATTAACAGGGGAAGTACTCCAAGTGCGACGCTCAGATTTTCTTTAAATTTTGCACACACGTCGGGTATGGACTAAATATCAATTCCTGAAAGTTTTAGCTTGCGCTTTGCGGGCGCCGCTGAGATATCGAACGATTTTTGCCGCCGAGAGAGCACGCTAAACGTGGAGAGCGGTCAGAGAGAAAAGCGCTTTTCGGCCATAACTTTGGCAGTTTCGCGCGGAAAAATTTGATTTTTTGTAGAAACATTATCTTTTACGGTTGAAATAGGCATGAAACTTTTCGTGCCGAAATTCGGCAAAAAGTCCTAAATTTTCGCCGACTTTCGATCTAAAAATCTCGGTTGTTTCTGCAAAGCGCGAGCTAGGATTCTCGCATATATCTCAGAAAAAATTATTCTAAATTTGTGCCATCAAAATCTGAGCGTCTCGCTTGGAGTACTTCCCCTGTAAGAAAGGGCCAATTGGACCTGGAAGGTTTATTTCGCTAATAATTTGAGAAATAATGGATCAAAATTTTCTAGAATTACATTCTTATAGCTACAGGGCTCTTTTTTGTGGCCCACAAATTTTTAATCAGCGAAATAAATCTTCCCGGACCACTGCAAAAAACATAGTCAAAGCCTCCACCTACCACATGCAAAGCGGTCCGTCCGTCATAATCAACTTCATTCGGTGAGGCGCCAGCGGCTAGCCAAGCCCTCAAACCGTCAATGTCCTCTTGACTGGCGGTCAAGCAAAGCTCCGTTCCAACACGCACACTATGAGCGGACAAATGAGCTCCCGCCGCCCGCAGTGCTTTGATAACCTCCAAATTCTTGGTCTGAATTGCCGCTTGAAGCGCGTTTTCGTGATTGGCGTCGCTGAAAAATACAGGGATGACAGACGTGGAAGACTCTTACCGAACATGCACCGACACTCCATGTTGCAAAAGATATTGGACGCTCTCCAAATTCGCGCTGGCTGCAGCAACATGCAGAGCATTCCTTCGATTGTAATCGGTGTTCGCAAAGTTGGCTCCGCTCAGTCTCAGCGACTCCAATAGTCGGGTGTCGTTTGTGTGCGCGGCATGCGATACCAAGGGTGTTAATAAGGCTTCTTTCAGGATGTTTTGTTCGTGCGATGAGGTCAGTTGAAGATATTTGGCAAGTCGGGGAACTGGAAATAGAATTCGTTAGAATTTTCTTCAATGACGGACCCTGTTTTTGAGATTTTCAGCCCCGTTGCGGCAGAACTCTACCCCTTTTTCAACTCTACCTCTTTTTGAACTTTACCCCTTCAGAACTCTACCCCTTTTTCAACTCTACCCCTTTTTGAACTTTACCCCTTCAGAACTCTACCCCTTTTTCAACTCTACCCCTTGAATGAACCCTCCCCCTTTTTGAACACTCCCCCTCATTTTGAAAATTGAAAAAATGAGGTGTGACATCTTATACGATGAAAATTTTTTTCAAATTGACAAAAATTAGGTGTGACGTCTTATACGATGAAAATTTTTTTCAAATTGAAAAGAATAAAGTGTGACATCTTATACGATGGAAATTTTTTTCAAATTGAAAAGAATAAGGTGTGACATCTTATACGATGAAAATTTTTTTCAAATTGAAAAAAATAAGATGTCACACCTTCAATTTGAAAAAAAAATTCATCGTATAACATGTCACACCTCGTTTTTTTTCAATTTGAAAAAAATTTCCATAGTATAACATGTCACACCTCGTTTTTTCAATTTTCAAAATGGGGGAGTGTTCAAAAAGGGGGAGAGTTCAGATTTTTTGGCGAAAATCAAAAAAGGGGTAGAGTTCAGCCTTTTTTAGGGTAGAGTTGAAAAAGGGTAGAGTTCAGATTGGGGGAAAGTTTAGAAAAGGAGTAGAGTTCAGGCTCAACCTTTCAGCCCAATCACGCTCTTGGCCACCTATTTGGTTAATTCCAAACAAAGCATTCAATTTTTCTGACAGAAAATTTTCCCGAAATGAGTAGCGGTCATTCTTTTCCAATGGAACTTACTAATATCCAGCTCATTCAGCGCTGTGGGCTGTTGAATAGTCAACTCTCCGCGTAGATTCTGCATGAGCATCAATTTCTTCTCTTCCATGGATGACTCGCATCCGAGAACATACGCCAATTTGGTCAATGCCGCCTCAGTTGTCATATCGGAACCGGAGATAACACCAGCCTTGGTCAGGACCTGAAAACGGAGCATTGAAAGTCAAATAACAACGTGTCGAAATTGCCCTGTATCTACAAATTTTTATTCAGCTGTTTTTGTGATAACATTAAGGGAAAAAAACGATTTTTGCGAATTTTCAGGTTTATCAGGACCTTTTTGGTTTGAAAATTTCCACATGAAATCCGACAAGGTATTGCGGAAAAAACATTTCTTCTCCGGCCTCTCTCTGCATTTGCAGGGGAAGTACCCCAAGCGCGACGCTCAGATTTTGATGAAACGTGGTACAAATTTAGAATAATTTTATCTAAAATATATGCGAGAATCCTAGCTCGCGCTATGCAAAAACACCAGAGATCTTTAGATTGAAAGTTGGTGTAATTTTGACACTTTGTGCTGAATCTCGGCACAAAAAGTTTTTATGCCTATTTCTGCCATAGAGGGTAATGTTTCCACAAAAAATCAATTTTTTCTGCACCAAGCAAAGTTATGGCTAAAAAGTGTTTTTCATCTGACCGCTCTCCGCGTTTGGCGTACTCTCTCGGCGGCAAATGTCGTTCACTATCCCGGCGGCGCTTGCAAAACGCGAGCTAAAACTTTCAGGAATTGATATTTAGTCCATGCCCGACAAGTGTGCAAAATTTAAAGAAAATCTGAGCGTCGCACTAGGGGTATTTCCCGTGTAGCGTATTCTCGGGGGAAAGATCGTTAAGTCTCTGCTGCCTCCGCAAAGCAAGACATAAAATTTTACAGAATTGATGTGAGTTAGAGAGAATACATGCGCAAAATTTTTCAAAATAAAAGCATCGGTCTTTGAGCAATATTAAAAAAAAATAAAAAAACCTGTTGCAAAACAACAGTAACTTTTGCAACACCATAGTTTCTTTTCAACAACACCACCTACCGCTCCTGTTGCATAACTTGTGTTCACTTTCCCCTTCAGGCATTGCGACACATTCAACACCAAACATCCCCGATTCACCGCGTTCGTAATCTCTTCGATAATGTCCAGCCGCCGCAATGGGATGTTCCCACTTCCATAGGCTTGAATGACAACTCCTTGGGTGGGTGGGCGGAACACCGCTCGGACGGATTCGATGGGAATCGACGGAAATATCCGCAGGATCCCGACATTTCGGCATAATTGGTCACAAACATTGAATGGGGCAATTTGATTGGATCGGAAAATATTCTCCCAATTTACTGAAAGCATTTTTTGTTATTTAGAGTTTGAAGTTGCTATATAAAACGCTCATTGTCAGCCGGATCACTAAGGTTTTTTGCTGATAACTAGTTGACATGGGAAGTACCAACTTTTTGGTCATGATACATAATCAGAGGCGTAGCTGACCAAAAGTTTTCGAAAAACATAATTTTGGTCGATTATTTCCCAAATTACAAGCAAAAAAGTCTTCCAGGACCAAATTTCCCAAAAAATAACCCTACCGCCTATTGATATGTCCATCACAGCCAGTGGGCTGTTATTCGGCGAAATGAATGCATCAAGTCCCCAATTATCCAATTTTGTTGTCCGATTTCCTCTCAACAATTTATTGTTAAAGTAGACGCAGACTTCAGGAATATCCAAATGACCGGCAACAATCAGCGCGCCAATCAAATTTTCTCGTCCGTCGGAACGAACTTCGGCCACTGGAATCTGCAACCAAATATTTGGTCTCATCAAAACATTTTTGCTTTTATATTTTACAGGGTCTTACAAAAAACGTGAAGGAAAGTAGAACGCTATAACTTCCGGCGGAGGTGGCGCAGAGACTTCGTATTTGAAATATGAATTTTTAAAAGACACAAGTTTTTGTCTACGAAATAACAAGCTTTTAAAGTGCAAACTGAGGTCGCTACGACCTTCTGAAGTAGAGGCATCTCTACCCCGAAAACCAGGTTTTTTCACTTGAAAATGATCGAGAAATTTCGAACTTTTTCGGTTGAAAATCACCAGGAAATGTCAGATTTTTTAGGGGGTTTCGATATGGGTGATGTTGAAAAAGAGGAGGAAAATGCCAACACTTGCAATTTTTTCGACGTTTTCTTAAAGACTATATCAAGAAATCCCCAAAAAATCCGACATTTCCTGGTGATTTTCAACCGAAAGAGTCCGAAATTTCTCGATCATTTTCAACCAAAAAAACCTGGTTTTCGGGGTAGAGATGCCTTTACTTCACAAGGTCGTAGCGACCTCAGTTTGCACTATAAAAGCTTGTTATTTTGTAGATAAAAACTTATGTCTTTTAAAAAAACATATTTCAAATACGAAGTCTCTGCGCCGCCTCCGCCGGAAGTTATAGACTTCCACTTTCCTTCACGTTGTTTGTAAGACCCTGTATATTAGGTATACTACATGTATTATATTACTACGTCTTAAAAGCCGATTTTTGGTTCGCTGCGCCAGCAATGAACCCCGGACATAATGAAAATGACCGTCGACATGTGCTAAGCTCTCAATTAGAAAAATTTCTCAATTTTTCAAATTGAGAAAAATTTTCATCGTATAAGATGTCACACCTTATTCTTTTCAATTTGAAAAAAAAATTTATCGTATAGGATGTCACACCTTACTCTTTTCAATCTGAAAAAAAAATTTATCGTATAGGATGTCACACCTTACTCTTTTCAATCTGAAAAAAAAATTCAACGTATAAGATGTCACACCTTATTCTTTTCAATTTGAAAAAAAATTTCATCGTATAAGATGTCATACCTTATTCTTTTCAATTTGAAAAAAAATTTCATCGTATAAGATGTCACACCTTATTCTTTTCAATTTGAAAAAAATTTCATCGTATAAGGTGTCACACCTTATTCTTTTCAATTTGAAAAAAAATTTCATCGTATAAGATGTCACACCTTATTCTTTTCAATTTGAAAAAAATTTCATCGTATAAGATGTCACACCTTATTCTTTTCAATTTGAAAAAAAAATTCATCGTATAGGATGTCACACCTTACTCTTTTCAATCTGAAAAAAATTTCATCGTATAAGATGTCATACCTTATTCTTTTCAATTTGAAAAAAAATTTCATCGTATAAGATGTCACACCTTATTCTTTTCAATTTGAAAAAAATTTCATCGTATAAGATGTCACACCTTATTCTTTTCAATTTGAAAAAAAAATTCATCGTATAGGATGTCACACCTTACTCTTTTCAATCTGAAAAAAATTTCATCGTATAAGATGTCACACCTTATTCTTTTCAATTTGAAAAAAAATTTCATCGTATAAGATGTCATACCTTATTCTTTTCAATTTGAAAAAAAATTTCATCGTATAAGATGTCACACCTTATTCTTTTCAATTTGAAAAAAATTTCATCGTATAAGATGTCACACCTTATTCTTTTCAATTTGAAAAAAAAATTCATCGTATAGGATGTCACACCTTACTCTTTTCAATCTGAAAAAAAAATTCAACGTATATGATGTCACACCTTATTCTTTTCAATTTGAAAAAAAATTTCATCGTATAAGATGTCATACCTTATTCTTTTCAATTTGAAAAAAAATTTCATCGTATAAGATGTCACACCTTATTCTTTTCAATTTGAAAAAAATTTCATCGTATAAGATGTCACACCTTATTCTTTTCAATTTGAAAAAAAAATTCATCGTATAGGATGTCACACCTTACTCTTTTCAATCTGAAAAAAAAATTCAACGTATATGATGTCACACCTTATTCTTTTCAATTTGAAAAAAAATTTCATCGTATAAGATGTCATACCTTATTCTTTTCAATTTGAAAAAAAATTTCATCGTATAAGATGTCACACCTTATTCTTTTCAATTTGAAAAAAATTTCATCGTATAAGATGTCACACCTTATTCTTTTCAATTTGAAAAAAAAATTCATCGTATAAGATGTCACACCTTATTCTTTTCAATTTGAAAAAAAAAAATTTATCGTATAGGATGTCACACCTTACTCTTTTCAATCTGAAAAAAAAATTCAACGTATAAGATGTCACACCTTATTCTTTTCAATTTGAAAAAAAATTTCATCGTATAAGATGTCATACCTTATTCTTTTCAATTTGAAAAAAAATTTCATCGTATAAGATGCCACACCTTATTCTTTTCAATTTGAAAAAAAATTTCATCGTATAAGATGTCACACCTTATTCTTTTCAATTTGAAAAAAATTTCATCGTATAAGATGTCACACCTTATTCTTTTCAATTTGAAAAAAAATTTCATCGTATAAGATCTCACACCTTATTCTTTTCAATTTGAAAAAAATTTCATCGTATAGGATGTTACACCTTACTCTTTTCAATCTGAAAAAAAATTCAACGTATAAGATGTCACACCTTATTCTTTTCAATTTGAAAAGAAATTTCATCGTATAAGATGTCATACCTTATTCTTTTCAATTTGAAAAAAAATTCATCGTATAAGATGTCACACCTCATTCTTTTCAATTTGAAAAAAATTTCATCGTATAAGATGTCACACCTTATTCTTTTCAATTTGAAAAAAAATTTCATCGTATAAGATGTCACACCTTATTCTTTTCAATTTGAAAAAAATTTCATCGTATAAGATGTCACACCTTATTCTTTTCAATTTGAAAAAAAAATTCATCGTATAAGATGTCACACCTTATTCTTTTCAATTTGAAAAAAAAAATTTATCGTATAAGATGTCACACCTTATTCTTTTCAATTTGAAAAAAAATTTCATCGTATAAGACCTCCTCTTCATGTCATCATTTGGCAATTTTAGCCCGAGGAAGCAAAAACGAGCCCGCCACCCGCATGTCCTTCACCATTCGCGCCTCAGGGAATTTGTCGGAACATAAAACTAATTTAATCCACCCCTCCAGAAAAAGCCGTTATGTCGTTTGACATAACGAATAAACGAGACTAATTGCTTTTGATGTGACAATTCAGGAAAATATTTACGTTGAGAAATAACTCGGTCGGGCGCATTGAAAATTTCGTCTAGATGGTGAGCATGCTCCATGTATAGGTTGAATATAAATGTGTAAAAATCTGGACTCTCTCGCTACAGACAAGGCCGAGATATTCAGAAATCTCTCGGGTAAATCGAAGCTGTCTTTACTTGATGACATCGGGTCTTACAACCAATATCACGATTTCAGGTAAGAGCCTGGATTATTGCCCGAAAGCCTAGCATCCGCTATTGTTTTTGTACCCACAGTTTGATAGATTAGTAATGCAAAGCAGTTTCGCTCTTTCGACACCAACCAATCGCCCCCATTTGAGCCAATTTTTCGCCAATTGAACACCATCAAGGATGCGTTTAAAGCCGTAATAAAACGCTTGAAACAAAATTACGGCTAAAAAAGGAAACTGCGTGGCCATTCCTAAGCCCCCAATTATTGTCATGCCTGGAACAAAAGGACCCAAAAATACATATGTTCGGGGGGTTTTCTTCGGAACGCTTTTGAAAACATGGGTGCGGAGTGACGAAAGAGCTTTATCACTGCGCAGTGCCGTTGCACGTAGAGGGGAAAAAGTGTGTTCAGAAAAACTTAAAAGTGGCTTGAACTTTCCACATATATGCCTCTGCTACTGAAGTTTTTTGGCAAAAACTGCGCGCACAATTATCCACGACGGCCGTGTATATGAAAAAACAAGCGTTTGCACTTTTAGCAATATGTTCGGTTGTAAAACATGACTTTTCTTGAGAATACTTGCAGCCGATATATCACTATGTCGTTGTCATTTCTAATTTTCGGAGAAGTTCTAGTGAGGCATACGACTCCTACGGCAACACAATTAGTACCTCGAAAAACCGCAAATTACAGCCAATTACGGCACACAAACATAACTCCTCTCAAAGTATACTGACATATGATAATCATTCAAATCCAGCACGAAATGAATCTCATAATTCTCGAATTAAATTTGAATAAACTTTTAGGTATTAGTGCATGCATAAATTGTCACGTAACGGAACCTCCATCTCACTACCTTTCGTGACCTACGACATAACTTTTACAACTCAATTTAGACGCATGCCTAACTAAGTTTGCGAGTTTAGAAGCCGGAAAACGAGAAGTTTTACATCATGAAACTGGAAAAAGCCGTTGTTTTTGAATTCGTAAGTGACTACAAGGCCGGAAAATTGTTTTGCAACGTGTTTTGGGCAAGGAAAACTTGATCTCCCGTTTATGCCGCCTGAAATAGCAATTGCAAAACATGTAAATAGTTGACGTTTTAATATTATTTAAAGGACGGCTTTTATATTCCAACAAACGTCGATGTGGCCACCCTTCTTTTAAGGCGAAAGGATTATTTTCATGATAAGGACAATGTTTTAGCCAGATCTTTGGCTGCTGTAGGTTCTTTAAGGAGGGTTTTGTAATCTATTATTGACATCTATAAGGTTTTACGACTGAATTTTACAATCTTTTCGAAAAGACTGCGGAATATCGAGCACTGCCTACGCAGATAACGCCGTCAGAAATTTCCAAAATCTTGTGTACAACACTGTATTTTAGACTTAGGCCGGCCGTCCTTTTCGCTCGACAAAATCAGGTTTATGTCCCATAAGTTTTTAATTCTACAAAAACAAACACTAAAAAAAGTCTGCGAAGTCGACAGTGATGTTTTTACAAGCGAATGAAGAGAGCCTATGACGCAGTTTATTGTTTTTTTCTATTTCTCAATGCACACCCTCGCTCTCCCTCCTTACATTGGATATTTATTGGCAATTCGCCAAGATTCCCCGAGAGGGCCATAAAACGTTTGACGTGTTTTTTGTTTTAGCGATATTAAATATGAAAAGTGCTAGAGAGTATAAACCAAATATTTCCGAAGATGGAAAACATTTGCTCCTGGTGAAATATTGATGTAAAATTTGTGAAAACGCGGGGGAAACATAGTAATTATAGTAACATAGTAAACATGGTAATAGTATAATTACAAGGCAATTTGCATTGGAAAATTTTCCCAGGTGCTGAAAACAGAAACCTTATTAATAAAATTGTTTTATTCACACATAAAATAAATTATTTATTCCTAATGGATCCAAAAACAGAGGCATACTATTCCACCATCACACTGTAGAAGTTTACAGTTGCAGCCGAGATATTCAACTATCTTTAGTGACAATAGGGTGGAAAAGACCGGATAAACGGTGAGGCGTAAATTTTGTTTGGCCACAGCTTTGAGAGTTTCTCATTTCTTGTGAAAACATTGCTCAACACATTACAAACCTTATACCTTTTTTTTCATCTGCTATAACAAAAAAATGGCCAAATTTTCGACCAAAGAAACTCGGTTGTCTCTTAAAACCGCAAACTATAATAGGTTTGTAAGAAATGATGCATTCCCTCTAACAGTCCATATTTATGCGTGGTAAAAACTTTGGAACTGATTTTAAACATGTAATATAACATTTCAAGTCTCACCGTGTTGAAAATCGGTTCTAACTTCAAAATTTTCAAAGTTCCTTGGAATTACAGTAATACGCCCGAAAAGTTGACGGAGGCTTTGAAACGGATAATCCTTATCCTTTACGCTTTGGCATTACCATTTTACCGAGTCTTTGGGCTAAAAATATCGGCTAATCTGACCCTATGATACATCCTTTGTGCGAAACTGGAATCCGCGGTCTGTGTATTTTTTTGCATATTTTTGAAATGAATAGAAGGAGTGTCTGTCGATAAAAAATTATGTGAGTCGAAACAAAACAAAATAGCGCAAAAACTGTAAAAATGACTAAGACGTCTGGCTATTACACAAATGCGGCATGAACGGAGACAATTCAAGTAATTGAAATATCTATTGCGTCATTTGCGATGTACTCAGCCGCTCAACTTACCCGAGAATGGGATTAGAAACGGAGTATTGGCTCTTAATCTGCCACGTATGCGATTTAAAAGATTCAATACGCATTACAAAAAATTAATTAAGTAGTCACTGTAAGACTGATTAAACAGAGATTAATCAAATTGCTCTAATTCACAAAAATTGAGCAAGTCGCAAAGACGGGTATGCAATCCATTTCGAAATGATTGGACCCCCTATGATATATGTATATTGGAAAAATGCAAACCAATAAAAAATACTCCTAGAGCGCGGCACTAAAAATATTTAATCCTAAAGATTCAGATCAAGCCCAGGCTTAATATTCCAGAAAAAGACTAAGCTGTCTAATCCTGTGTGTTTTCAACTTCAAATTCTGTAAGACCGAATCTAAGTCTGTCCCAAGGTCTGGAAATTCCCTTTATCCTCCATATTACTCATGCTGTCACGGGCAACACAGATATTCCAAAATAGCCAGAACAAAAATGAGTCATTTATCTCGCACTTTGCACCCCAACATTTCAAAGGAACCGAAAATACATAGTAGGAAATAGATTTCAACTCTGTAACATAATATTTACCTTTAACAGCTGACGAGAAATAATTAAGATGATATTAATGTACATACATGTACATGTCAAATTCTAATGACTTCCAGAAAAAAATTAAATGGCGATAATTGCTATACGGATATAAACAGCCATACAGAACTAATTGATTAAAAACACCTGCGAAAACAGACCTGCTCATAAACAAGGTTTGTTCTAATTGGTGTTTCAGGTTGTTGAAAAAATGTGAATAAATAGTACACTGCGCCAATAATCGCGGCAGGTTTATTTCACCGATGTCTCTGAAATACTGCTTCCAAATTAACAATGATTATGACTATATTTTCTGGCATTCTGAAGCACCAAAACCCATCAGGCGGCAAACCATATCGTGTTTTTAAGCTTCGTCCACGCCTAATTAAGAAAATCGGTCGTTAAATTGCATAATGTAAATTTCGTCAGTAAGGTGTAAAAATAGCGATCTCAAAGCATATTGAGCAAAACAGGTGGACGAACACAAGCTAAAGACCCTACAAATATACATATATGCGTATATTTTGTAAATTTTCATTCAGTGTTTCCCGAGCCATTAGCAAAGAAACCCTTCCGATCCGCCTGAAACGCTCTGTAGCCGTTTTTCAATCATTACTTTTTTGTCATTTCCTGCAAACAAGCCAGCGGGTGTGGATTCTGGAAACGCACGTTTTTCGAACTCTCGAAACCATTCTAGAGCCTTGTGCGACACCGTGTTTCGTTAATCTGCTAATCTTACAAGCAAGCACACAAGAATTCCATATTGTCACGAATTGCAAGCGGATTTGGCTGTGTCGTACACTGAGCATTGCGAAAATACTATGTTGCAGTGTTTTCATGTACCATGGAACCCAAAAATTTTTGCTTTCTGCATGGATTCTTATGCTGTAATTTTTGAGAAAGTTGTGGTTAAGGTGGGATGCTGGAAGACAAATCTTATGCATCATGTAAATCAAAACTTGCAAGTTGCACGGACTAGACTTGGCTGCTGGGCTGGGCCGGGCCAAAGCAAAATTGAAACGGGCCGGGCCGGGCCGACCTGTTCCGGCCCACGGGCCGGGCCGCAACTTTCGGCCCGGGCCGGCCCGGCAAAATTAAAATTCTGAATTTTAAAGCGAAAAGTTGGGTCGCCAATAAAATTAAAACGCAAAGCCAAGAATGGGGTCTATATTTTTCATACAGTAAGTATAATTTTATAAAAATAAAGCACGGAAGTACTCAAAAATGGCTAATAATAAGTAATTTTACTAGTAAAATCTATTAAGTACTAATGTAGATTAGTGTTTGCAGTAATTTTTTGAACAAAAACTCAAAATAAACGTAACCGACATCCTTAAAAACACAATTAAGAAGTTGTGTGAAGCAACGCTATCATATTGAAGTTGAAAACCTTGTTAAACGTGGTTCCACCTTTGCTGAATCTGTAAAATTGATCTTGGGGCAATTTTTAACAGTCTGAAAACGGATCTCGGGAATTTTTTGATTAATTTTAAAAAGGCAATGCGTTGGCAAGTAATTTTTTGCTTCAAAAATGTACTGTTAGTTGTTATAGTAAAGGAAAATATGCCACATCTAATAGCGAATTAAGGTTTTTTACTTCTTCTCAATTTTCGGGTCGGCCCGGGCCGGGCCGCGGGCTGGGCCGGGCCGGGCCGATGAAAAATTGAAACGGGCCGGGCCGGGCCGACCTCTTCCGGCCCGCGGGCCGGGCCGTGATTTTCGGCCCGGGCCGGCCCGAGAGCCAAGTCTAGCACGGACATCTTCTGGTATTAATTCATTTGAATTCTTCGAAACACTCAACTTTGACATTAAGACTTCTCTAAGCCTGCAAGTTATCGTTGTAAACAGGATAAATACGCAAAAACACCGACCCTAGAAAACGACCTTCCCAGACAGAAAAACGGCTTATCCCTTGTGGTACATTCTCTCCTGGATGTGTAGGATGATACATCGAAAACAATTTAAATACCATGGAAAAGGAAGGTGATAAAATAACAAAGAAAAAGAAGCGACATAAATGTCATAAAAAGATGCAATATGGTTTGTAAAAGTCGTAGGCGGTCTGTTGTTTTTCCTCACCATTTTCGTAGATTAGAGAGTTGCAAAGGCTGCAGACAAGCTTAAGCTTGTTCCTACAATGCCAATGTAATCCCAGTATTATTTGATTAGGAGGGTGATTAATTTAATGGATATCGGAAAGTTCAAGCTGTTTATTTACTCTGCAATTTGACCTAAGAAGGTAATAACAAAAGGAAGCAAAAATTTTGAGATTGAATATGGAGAAGCAAATAATTTTCCAAAGATACCGTTTGGCGGTCAATGAGATCAGACAAAAAAACATAGCCGTGGTGTAACAAGACACACTTGACCAGCATATTTTTTACGTTACACCAACGATTAATCATCATTCTCCAAACGTTGCGCAAAGTTGTTTTCAGTGTAAGCGCTCACGTTGATTGATGTAATGTCTCCAAAAACTGTGCCCGAGACTTGTTATCGTTTATGCTGTGGACCGCAACATTTTCACTGTCGGGCATGGCTTACGGTGAGTATAAAAATGGAATTGATTTCAAATTGGTTTACACTATCTGTTGTTTTTCACGGTAGTTTCATTCAAAATCTTCCGGGTTAATCGAATAATCAGCACGTGTTTTAGCGCACATATGCCGTTCAACCCCGTGAGGATTTTGTATAACATTGTAAAGAGCTTGGTAAAGCTTGTCTACTCCAGTCCAGGCAAGAAGGTGGAATTTGGAGTGAGTGAGGACACTCCGGGGCCTTTAATAAATGCACCATGTGGACCAATCGAGGGATTCGTTCATAAAACTGCAAAGGGAGACACTCACTGCTACCTTGGAATTCCATACGCTGAGAAGCCTGTGGGCGAACTCAGGCTTGAGGTAAGGGGAGGAAATTTGTACTCTCTTACGGTAGTCGACGCTATTCACGCAAAAAAATTGCAGCTCCCTCGGCCAGCCAGGCCTTGGACCTCAATTTTGAAGGCGAAGCAATTTGGTTTGGTCTCAGTACCCCATCACGACTGTGGCACAAAATGGGAATATAGCGAAGACTCTTTAACCATCAGTGTTCTGACGCCTGCTATCCACAAACCTGGAGGGTATCCTGTTGTCTTCTTCAGCCATCCAAGTGCTTTTTCTCTGGCCTCTGCAAAAACCATGAGATATGAAGGGTTTTGCGAGAACATTGTGGCTGAAGGCTGTGTTTTTGTGATGTTTCAGTACCGCTATGGCTATCTCGGATTCGCATCAACCGGGGATGCGGTTATGCCTGGAAACCTTGGGCTTCATGATCAAGTCTTGGCGCTTGATTGGACTAGAAGAAACATCTCCGCTTTTAACGGAAACCCATCGAGGATAACTGGATGGGGAATGTCGACCGGCGGAATAAGCGTATCTTTGCTGGCAATATCACCCAAAACCCGCGATTACTTTGTCGGGCATGTTCAAAACTCTGGCGGGATTCTGGAGCCCAGCTTGTTTGGAAATCATGTTGTTTTGGAGACAAGAAAGTTAGCTAGAGCTTTAGGATGCGTCTCCGAAGACTCTGCTGAAATAAAACGATGCCTAAAGAAGGCGTCAATAAAACAGTTGATGTCAGCACAAGAGAAGCTCGGGATTACAAGGGACATGTTCAAATTCCGTTGGGTTCCGCGGCTGGATGGCGATTTGTTTCCGGAGGATCTGCCCGAATTGATAAAGAAGGCCCGACCAACACCGTGTTTCTCAGGCTACACGAGCGACGAAATGTTGTATTTCTGTAGGTTCATCGTTTCCCTTACGATAAGTTTTCATTCTCAGATAACGGATTCCTAAAAGACGGAGCCAACCTGTTCATTGACAAGAATAAAAGGGAGAACTTCGACGAGGAACAACTTATTTACAATGTGCGAAACCGACTGTTTACTGAAGAAGATTATGGACCAAATCACAGAAAAATTGCGGACATGGTGTTGGATTACTACATTTCCGAACAATCTCCGAAGCACAAAGATCCCTTGTATTGGCTGAATATCGAACAAAAGGTAAGTCAGGTTTTTGATTTTTCCATGAAATGAGAAAAATTACACAGTAACCAAGACGATTTTTAAACAAATTACAGAAGCATTTGTTTCTTTAAACGTTTGACGGATCCTTTTTCTGACACTTCTTGTTTTATAATGTAAACACATTCACAGAAGTCTAGTATAGACAGAAAAAAATGCTTTTGATTTTTGAAAAAATGCTATTTGACTTTGCCGCGACACAATTCATTTCCTCAGCGGCGATCGATGCGACAGATTGCTTACTATCAGTCAGTCGGGAAAATAACGGCGGATTGTCGCGACTCGGAATCGCCTATCATCGCTTTGCGACTTCAAGCCGCGGCTGGGAATTTGGTGCGCGATAGCGGCGAGGCGAAACATTTTGATGCGACGATCCGCCGCTATTTTCCCGACAGACTGATATTTTCGGACTGATTATAATTTGCAAAAAATCCGCATGTCGCACCTAAAATCTCGTCCCGACTTTTCGGGTCGACGATACTTCGGGTTAACATAAAATTGATCGAAACGAGCGTAGGGCAGGTGGATATTCAAAAGAAGGCTTGTGCCAACTGCCTGCCAAGCCTGGCAAAGCCGTTAGATTGTCGGCGGACGCCCGGCGAAGGCTCGACGGACGCTTGGCGAACTCTTGCAATATGTCTATTTTTTCTAATTTTAGCTATTACTAACGTTAGTTTTCTTTACCCTGAGTTATTGTAGAATAAAAAGGCCAAAATTTGCGGCAAGGAACAAATATCCGTCACTTTTATCTAGATATTATTGATGTGAGAACGTGTAAAATACCTCAAAATAGGTGATAAGATAACATAGGACCCAATCAATCTTATTATTTCTACTAATTAAGCCATCTCCTAGCCTCCCCTATGCATACAACGACGAACCGACGGGATCCATAGTATCGTTGATCCCTGTCGCTGACCCGAAAGGTCGTAGCGCAAAACAAATCACTTGATAAAAGGAAAGAATAAACCATTATGTTGCAGCTCCTCTCTCATCTCGCTATCCTAGTGCCAATGTACATGGAGAACAAGCTGAAAGCCGAGGCAGGGTGGCCAGTTTATGTTTATCAGAACGCCCATTGGAGAGAAGGGCATTTCGATCCGAAGGATAAGAACGCAGCGTTCCGTGGGTGTATGCATGTCAGCGAAATGAAGCAATTTTGTGGAGCACCGGTCCCAACCAAATACGTCATGAACGCAGAAGATCTGAAACATAAGCACGCGCTTATTCAGAGTCATCTCAACTTTTTCAAGACCGGGTGAGTCAATAGCTCTTTCTCGTAGCAAAATCTCAACATTGCTAGAGGCAATATAATTTCCGTGTTTCCAGAAATCCAAGTTTTGATGACATTGAATGGCCTAAAGTAGACAACGATAGTTTGTGTTGCAACGTCTCGCTATTGCCAAATTCGCGAATCAACGACAAATTTGTGGGTGACCAGAAAGCTCTGGAATTCTGGTTAAAAATGATCGACGAGTTCGGGGATACCGTAATACGAACAATTCATGGCGCAGCCATGTAACCTTCGAATACCAAAAAAAATTCTCTGTACATTTGAAATACACTTTCCCAAACTTGTATGAAATTCAAGAAAAAGCCGAAAAAATAAAAATTAAGGGACTTCTTTATTCAACTCTCAGGTAGGAACGTATATGGTACATTAACAACATGGATTTGCTCCGTTTGAGTGGATTCGAGTGGCTGTTTCGTTGAGCAGCTCCTTGACAGCAATATTTTGAGCCTCGTCGATTGGCCGGCGTCCTTGGTTGTCGAATACCGTGGGATCGGCGCCGTTCTCACAGAGGAACACGACTACTTTCTCCAAGTTCCGATGAACTGCCTTAAAATCAATTTTATTAACATTAATTTTATTTCAACTTGTCTTCAAATTAACAGGGGAAGTACTCCAAGTGCGACGCTCAGATTTTCTTTAAATTTTGCACACACGTCGGGTATGGACTAAATATCAATTCCTGAAAGTTTTAGCTTGCGCTTTGCGGGCGCCGCTGAGATATCGAACGATTTTTGCCGCCGAGAGAGCACGCTAAACGTGGAGAGCGGTCAGAGAGAAAAGCGCTTTTCGGCCATAACTTTGGCAGTTTCGCGCGGAAAAATTTGATTTTTTGTAGAAACATTATCTTTTACGGTTGAAATAGGCATGAAACTTTTCGTGCCGAAATTCGGCAAAAAGTCCTAAATTTTCGCCGACTTTCGATCTAAAAATCTCGGTTGTTTCTGCAAAGCGCGAGCTAGGATTCTCGCATATATCTCAGAAAAAATTATTCTAAATTTGTGCCATCAAAATCTGAGCGTCTCGCTTGGAGTACTTCCCCTGTAAGAAAGGGCCAATTGGACCTGGAAGGTTTATTTCGCTAATAATTTGAGAAATAATGGATCAAAATTTTCTAGAATTACATTCTTATAGCTACAGGGCTCTTTTTTGTGGCCCACAAATTTTTAATCAGCGAAATAAATCTTCCCGGACCACTGCAAAAAACATAGTCAAAGCCTCCACCTACCACATGCAAAGCGGTCCGTCCGTCATAATCAACTTCATTCGGTGAGGCGCCAGCGGCTAGCCAAGCCCTCAAACCGTCAATGTCCTCTTGACTGGCGGTCAAGCAAAGCTCCGTTCCAACACGCACACTATGAGCGGACAAATGAGCTCCCGCCGCCCGCAGTGCTTTGATAACCTCCAAATTCTTGGTCTGAATTGCCGCTTGAAGCGCGTTTTCGTGATTGGCGTCGCTGAAAAATACAGGGATGACAGACGTGGAAGACTCTTACCGAACATGCACCGACACTCCATGTTGCAAAAGATATTGGACGCTCTCCAAATTCGCGCTGGCTGCAGCAACATGCAGAGCATTCCTTCGATTGTAATCGGTGTTCGCAAAGTTGGCTCCGCTCAGTCTCAGCGACTCCAATAGTCGGGTGTCGTTTGTGTGCGCGGCATGCGATACCAAGGGTGTTAATAAGGCTTCTTTCAGGATGTTTTGTTCGTGCGATGAGGTCAGTTGAAGATATTTGGCAAGTCGGGGAACTGGAAATAGAATTCGTTAGAATTTTCTTCAATGACGGACCCTGTTTTTGAGATTTTCAGCCCCGTTGCGGCAGAACTCTACCCCTTTTTCAACTCTACCTCTTTTTGAACTTTACCCCTTCAGAACTCTACCCCTTTTTCAACTCTACCCCTTTTTGAACTTTACCCCTTCAGAACTCTACCCCTTTTTCAACTCTACCCCTTGAATGAACCCTCCCCCTTTTTGAACACTCCCCCTCATTTTGAAAATTGAAAAAATGAGGTGTGACATCTTATACGATGAAAATTTTTTTCAAATTGACAAAAATTAGGTGTGACGTCTTATACGATGAAAATTTTTTTCAAATTGAAAAGAATAAAGTGTGACATCTTATACGATGGAAATTTTTTTCAAATTGAAAAGAATAAGGTGTGACATCTTATACGATGAAAATTTTTTTCAAATTGAAAAAAATAAGATGTCACACCTTCAATTTGAAAAAAAAATTCATCGTATAACATGTCACACCTCGTTTTTTTTCAATTTGAAAAAAATTTCCATAGTATAACATGTCACACCTCGTTTTTTCAATTTTCAAAATGGGGGAGTGTTCAAAAAGGGGGAGAGTTCAGATTTTTTGGCGAAAATCAAAAAAGGGGTAGAGTTCAGCCTTTTTTTAGGGTAGAGTTGAAAAAGGGGTAGAGTTCAGATTGGGGGAAAGTTTAGAAAAGGAGTAGAGTTCAGGCTCAACCTTTCAGCCCAATCACGCTCTTGGCCACCTATTTGGTTAATTCCAAACAAAGCATTCAATTTTTCTGACAGAAAATTTTCCCGAAATGAGTAGCGGTCATTCTTTTCCAATGGAACTTACTAATATCCAGCTCATTCAGCGCTGTGGGCTGTTGAATAGTCAACTCTCCGCGTAGATTCTGCATGAGCATCAATTTCTTCTCTTCCATGGATGACTCGCATCCGAGAACATACGCCAATTTGGTCAATGCCGCCTCAGTTGTCATATCGGAACCGGAGATAACACCAGCCTTGGTCAGGACCTGAAAACGGAGCATTGAAAGTCAAATAACAACGTGTCGAAATTGCCCTGTATCTACAAATTTTTATTCAGCTGTTTTTGTGATAACATTAAGGGAAAAAAACGATTTTTGCGAATTTTCAGGTTTATCAGGACCTTTTTGGTTTGAAAATTTCCACATGAAATCCGACAAGGTATTGCGGAAAAAACATTTCTTCTCCGGCCTCTCTCTGCATTTGCAGGGGAAGTACCCCAAGCGCGACGCTCAGATTTTGATGAAACGTGGTACAAATTTAGAATAATTTTATCTAAAATATATGCGAGAATCCTAGCTCGCGCTATGCAAAAACACCAGAGATCTTTAGATTGAAAGTTGGTGTAATTTTGACACTTTGTGCTGAATCTCGGCACAAAAAGTTTTTATGCCTATTTCTGCCATAGAGGGTAATGTTTCCACAAAAAATCAATTTTTTCTGCACCAAGCAAAGTTATGGCTAAAAAGTGTTTTTCATCTGACCGCTCTCCGCGTTTGGCGTACTCTCTCGGCGGCAAATGTCGTTCACTATCCCGGCGGCGCTTGCAAAACGCGAGCTAAAACTTTCAGGAATTGATATTTAGTCCATGCCCGACAAGTGTGCAAAATTTAAAGAAAATCTGAGCGTCGCACTAGGGGTATTTCCCGTGTAGCGTATTCTCGGGGGAAAGATCGTTAAGTCTCTGCTGCCTCCGCAAAGCAAGACATAAAGTTTTACAGAATTGATGTGAGTTAGAGAGAATACATGCGCAAAATTTTTCAAAATAAAAGCATCGGTCTTTGAGCAATATTAAAAAAAAATAAAAAAAACCTGTTGCAAAACAACAGTAACTTTTGCAACACCATAGTTTCTTTTCAACAACACCACCTACCGCTCCTGTTGCATAACTTGTGTTCACTTTCCCCTTCAGGCATTGCGACACATTCAACACCAAACATCCCCGATTCACCGCGTTCGTAATCTCTTCGATAATGTCCAGCCGCCGCAATGGGATGTTCCCACTTCCATAGGCTTGAATGACAACTCCTTGGGTGGGTGGGCGGAACACCGCTCGGACGGATTCGATGGGAATCGACGGAAATATCCGCAGGATCCCGACATTTCGGCATAATTGGTCACAAACATTGAATGGGGCAATTTGATTGGATCGGAAAATATTCTCCCAATTTACTGAAAGCATTTTTTGTTATTTAGAGTTTGAAGTTGCTATATAAAACGCTCATTGTCAGCCGGATCACTAAGGTTTTTTGCTGATAACTTGGAAAATAGTTGACATGGGAAGTACCAACTTTTTGGTCATGATACATAATCAGAGGCGTAGCTGACCAAAAGTTTTCGAAAAACATAATTTTGGTCGATTATTTCCCAAATTACAAGCAAAAAAGTCTTCCAGGACCAAATTTCCCAAAAAATAACCCTACCGCCTATTGATATGTCCATCACAGCCAGTGGGCTGTTATTCGGCGAAATGAATGCATCAAGTCCCCAATTATCCAATTTTGTTGTCCGATTTCCTCTCAACAATTTATTGTTAAAGTAGACGCAGACTTCAGGAATATCCAAATGACCGGCAACAATCAGCGCGCCAATCAAATTTTCTCGTCCGTCGGAACGAACTTCGGCCACTGGAATCTGCAACCAAATATTTGGTCTCATCAAAACATTTTTGCTTTTATATTTTACAGGGTCTTACAAAAAACGTGAAGGAAAGTAGAAGGCTATAACTTCCGGCGGAGGCGGCGCAGAGAGTTCGTATTTGAAATATGAATTTTTAAAAGACACAAGTTTTTGTCTACGAAATAACAAGCTCTTAAAGTGCAAACTGAGGTCGCTACGACCTTCTGAAGTAGAGGCATCTCTACCCCGAAAACCAGGGGCCTGTCCCACTAACAAAGCGTAGCGCGAATCACGAATTGGAAGCGCGAAAAATCATGCAAAAGCGAGAGAGGTGAGAGAAAAAGCGGGCTCTCTCGGAAATCCGCGCTACGGTTTTTTTGTGCAAAATACCGAAAATTTTTTACTTTTTTTGCCGTAACTCCTTTCAATGATGTCCGATTTACATGATTTTAAAAACCGTGAACAAAGGAGACCCACAGCTTCTAGAAAATGTAAATTTTGTTTGCTTTAACGCGGATTAAGGCTCCCCGCCAAGACGAATTACAATTCCCTCATAGAGAATCATGATTCGAAGTCATATTTTCAAAAAAAACTTATCATTAGCTATTTATCGTAACTTCCACAGCTCATATGCGAATTTATCAACCCGGTTGCCCCTCCCAAGCCCAATGTTTGGTCTCCTCTTGTCATAATTTGCTCGGTGACAAAAAGGTTTGTTTTGGAAAAAAAATTATAGATAAATTCTCCACTCATTCCTCAGAGACGTTGAAACAAACTATTCAAGCCATACTACCCCTCTTACACCCAATTTTAGTCACCCCTTGTCATAATTCGTTTTATAACAAAAAAGTTGTTTTCATATGGCAAGGGAAGACCAAAAATTGGGCTTGGGTGGGGCAGCTCGGGTTGATAAATTCGCATATGAGCTGTGGAAGTTACGATAAATAGCTAATGATAAGTTTTTTTTGAAAATATGACTTCGAATCATGATTCTCTATGAGGGAATTGTAATTCGTCTTGGCGGGGAGCCTTAATCCGCGTTAAAGCAAACAAAATTTACATTTTCTAGAAGCTGTGGGTCTCCTTTGTTCACGGTTTTTAAAATCATGTAAATCGGACATCATTGAAAGGAGTTACGGCAAAAAAAGTAAAAAATTTTCGGTATTTTGCACAAAAAAACCGTAGCGCGGATTTCCGAGAGAGCCCGCTTTTTCTCTCACCTCTCTCGCTTTTGCATGATTTTTCGCGCTTCCAATTCGTGATTCGCGCTACGCTTTGTTAGTGGGACAAGCCCCAGGTTTTTTCAGTTGAAAATGGTCGAGAAATTTCGAACTTTTTCGGTTGAAAATCACCAGGAAATGTCAGATTTTTTAGGGGGTTTCGATATGGGTGATGTTGAAAAAGAGGAGGAAAATGCCAACACTTGCAATTTTTTCGACGTTTTCTTAAAGACTATATCAAGAAATCCCCAAAAAATCCGACATTTCCTGGTGATTTTCAACCGAAAGAGTCCGAAATTTCTCGATCATTTTCAACCGAAAAAACCTGGTTTTCGGGGTAGAGATGCCTCTACTTCACAAGGTCGTAGCGACCTCAGTTTGCACTATAAAAGCTTGTTATTTCGTAGATAAAAACTTACGTCTTTTAAAAATACATATTTCAAATACGAAGTCTCTGCGCCGCCTCCGCCGGAAGTTATAGACTTCCACTTTCCTTCACGTTGTTTGTAAGACCCTGTATATTAGGTATACTACATGTATTATATTACTACGTCTTAAAAGCCGATTTTTGGTTCGCTGCGCCAGCAATGAACCCCGGACATAATGAAAATGACCGTCGACATGTGCTAAGCTCTCAATTTGAAAAATTTCTCAATTTTTCAAATTGAAAAAAATTTTCATCGTATAAGATGTCACACCTTATTCTTTTCAATTTGAAAAAAAAATTTCATCGTATAGGATGTCACACCTTACTCTTTTCAATCTGAAAAAAAAATTCAACGTATAAGATGTCACACCTTATTCTTTTCAATTTGAAAAAAAAATTTCATCGTATAGGATGTCACACCTTACTCTTTTCAATCTGAAAAAAAATTCAACGTATAAGATGTCACACCTTATTCTTTTCAATTTGAAAAAAAATTTCATCGTATAAGATGTCATACCTTATTCTCTTCAATTTGAAAAAAAATTTCATCGTATAAGATGTCATACCTTATTCTTTTCAATTTGAAAAAAAATTCATCGTATAAGATGTCACACCTTATTCTTTTCAATTTGAAAAAAAATTTCATCGTATAAGATGTCACACCTTATTCTTTTCAATTTGAAAAAAATTTCATCGTATAAGATGTCACACCTTATTCTTTTCAATTTGAAAAAAAAATTCATCGTATAAGATGTCACACCTTATTCTTTTCAATTTGAAAAAAAATTCATCGTATAAGATGTCACACCTTATTCTTTCCAATTTGAAAAAAAATTTCATCGTATAAGATGTCACACCTTATTTTTTTCAATTTGAAAAAAAAATTTCATCGTATAAGATGTCACACCTTATTCTTTTCAATTTGAAAAAAAAATTTCATCGTATAAGATGTCACACCTTATTCTTTTCAATTTGAAAAAAAATTTCATCGTATAAGATGTCACACCTTATTCTTTTCAATTTGAAAAAAAATTTCATCGTATAAGATGTCACACCTTATTCTTTTCAATTTGAAAAAAAAATTCATCGTATAAGATGTCACACCTTATTCTTTTCAATTTGAAAAAAAAATTCATCGTATAAGATGTCACACCTTATTCTTTCCAATTTGAAAAAAAATTTCATCGTATAAGATGTCACACCTTATTTTTTCAATTTGAAAAAAAATTTCATCGTATAAGATGTCACACCTTATTCTTTTCAATTTGAAAAAAAATTTCATCGTATAAGATGTCACACCTTATTCTTTTCAATTTGAAAAAAAAATTCATCGTATAAGATGTCACACCTTATTCTTTTCAATTTGAAAAAAAATTTCATTGTATAAGATGTCATACCTTATTCTTTTCAATTTGAAAAAAAAATTCATCGTATAAGATGTCACACCTTATTCTTTTCAATTTGAAAAAAAATTTCATCGTATAAGATGTCACACCTTATTCTTTTCAATTTGAAAAAAAATTTCATCGTATAAGATATCACACCTTATTCTTTTCAATTTGAAAAAAATTTCATCGTATAAGATGTCACATCTTGTTCTTTTCAATTTGAAAAAAAATTTCATCGTATAAGATGTCACACCTTATTCTTTTCAATTTGAAAAAAAATTTCATCGTATAAGATATCACACCTTATTCTTTTCAATTTGAAAAAAATTTCATCGTATAAGATGTCACACCTTATTCTTTTCAATTTGAAAAAAAATTTCATCGTATAAGATGTCACACATTATTTTTTTCAATTTGAAAAAAATTTTCATCGTATACTCATTTCCCCCTCTTTCTCGCCTGTTACCGACATTTTGTTGAGAAAGCATGGGAAAGGAGAGACCGGAAGGCGCCAGAGACGCGCAGTTACCCCAGCTTAAAAACAGAGGCGGAATCTATAAAAGGCGGGGACGTTGCTCAGTCTTCACTCGATTCCTCGAGTCAACGAATCTGTGAGGCCGCGGAAGGGGTGTACGCGCTGGCCGTCATCGTGAGTCTATCAGGGCCACGATCACGGCCAGCGAGTATGCCGTCTTTCGCGGGGCCGTCACTGTTCCGGCTGCTGGATCCAGTGGCTCAGTAGGCAGCCAAGCGCTGCCTACTTTGAGGCACTGGTGCCATCAGCTGGAGCGACGCCTTGGCGGCCCCCCTGCCAGGCCAGCCCACCTGGACCAGGGCGCCCTCTTGAGGGAACTCGTGGCCCAGGTGGGCGACCTCCGCAATATTGTGGAGCAGGTGTTGGGCCGGCTCCCTGCCCAGCCTGCTCCGCCGGCCGTCCAGCCCGACCAGCCGCTTCAGCCAGCCGTCCAGCCCGCGTCGCCCCGAATCGCCGAATCCGCTTCGATGAGGAAGGCGCCCCCATGGAGGAGTAGCGCCCTCCAATTTCTCTTCTCGGGGTTTCGCCCCCAATTGTTATATTTTTGGTTTGCTTTGAAAATAAAGCTTTTATTCAATTGGAGACTTATCATGGCTGAGGTCTCGGATCAATTCTGCTCAGCCTGCAGTCGCCCCGAATCGTCCCCGTCGAATCGAATTCGACGATGATGGCGTCCCCATGGACGAGTAGAGCCCATGGCTCCTCTCTTTTCTCTCATCGGGGTTTCGCCCCCAATTGTTGTTATTTTTGGTTTGCTTTGGAAATAAAGCATTTTTATTCAATTGGAGACATCATGGCTGAGGGTTGTGTCCGAACAGTGCACCTGAAACAAACAGTGCACCTGGGCGAACCGTGCACCTGAGCGAACGGTTCACCTGACACATTTTGAACAGTGCACCTGGGCGAACGGTGCACCTGGGCGAACAGTGCACCTTGAAAAAAAGATTTTTTATGAACAATTGAACAAAATTTGAAATGTTTTCGCTTTGAGACAGGGAAAAAATAACTTTTTGTGAATAATTTAAAAAAATTTGAAATGTTTTCGCTTCGGGACAAGGAAAAAAGAATTTTTTGTGAATAGTTGAAAAGAATTTGAAAAGTTTTCGCTTCGGGAAAGGGAAAAAACATTTTTTTGTATGTGAAAAGATAAATATGACAAGGGGGATCAAGGTAAGCCGTTTTTACCAATTTTTTTTGTGAAGAACTAAATATGACAAGGGGATCAAGGTAAGCTGTTTTTTTCTCGCAATGAAACTACTTCTATGGGGTCTGGAGTTACAGGTCGAGATATATCAAAAAAATTTGCAAAAATTTTCTGATTCAGAATACGTAAAAATTAGTTGCCTAATTTTGGTTTAATGACATGTTTTTGTCCTCAGAAGTTTTTTTGTGACACCATGCAAGTGTCTTTTGGACCATGTTTTTACCAATAAAAAAAATTTGTTTTGTGCTAAAATTCAATTTTTACGAAAATCTTTTTTCGTAAAAACCTTTCAAATTTTTTAAAAATTTTGCAAAAAAAATATTTTTCTTTGTCGCGAAGCAAAAACCTTTCAAACTTTGTTCAAATATTCCGAAAAATTCTTTTTTCCTGTCTCGAAGCGAAAACTTTTTAAATTTTGTTAAAATTTTCCAAAAAATTAACTTTTCCCTGTCCCGAAGCGAAAACCTTTCAAATTTTCTTCAATTATACACAAAGAAACTTATTTCAAGGTGCACTGTTCGCCTAGGTGCACTGTTCAAAACAGAAAATATCAGGTACACTGTTCACCCAGGTGCACAATTCGCCCAGGTGCACCGTTCAGCCAGGTGCACAATTCGTCAGGTGCACCGTTCGGACCGAATCACGGCTGAGGTCCTGAGCCCCAGCCTTGCTGTGATCCCTCGCCTTCCTTTGGGCTTGGAGTTTCGTGCTCTAAGTTCTGCTCTTAGCAGTTTATTCCTTTTGGTATAGAGATTATTGTCCATAGAGAGGTTCTTCGCTCTCTCGGGATTGTTTTTGTACAGTAGACTAACAATTTTTTTGGACATTTCGTTTCCCAAGCCGTAAACAACGCGATTCAAAAGTAGCTGTATCCAGGCTTTCCAAAAAAATCCCACTTTGATCGAAGAATAATGTATACCTGACTGCCCGTAACGACCACCGGTTTTCCCAACTGCTCCATCATGAAGGAGAGAGCGCAAGCCGTGTAGGCTAGAGTGTCTGTTCCATGGAGCACCACAAACCCGTCGTAATGTTGATAGGACTTTTTTATGTCATGAGCAATTCGAATCCAATCGTCAAATGTCATGTCACTGCTGTCCAAAAGAGGCTCGTATTCGACAACCTGAATAAAAGAATGCTTAGACAAAGCAAAGCTATCAATAGTTGCAAGACGTGTCCAAGGGCTATCGACAAGAACTACGCATAAACTTACCCAATAAATAACCCGTTCGTTGAATCCCTTGACCGGCGGCAAACAATACGGCTTCACCTCAGCTTTATCGTAATGTTTTTCCACGTACTCGACGTCGTTCAGCGGCGGGAGGGCTCGTATTGCGCTGGGAAGGAAGTGCGGCTCCGGTGAGTAGACTAAACAGAATCCAAGTAAATTTGCGATTTTAGCAGCAGAGAGAAAGAATAAAATCTTACCTCCGTCTTTGGTCCGCATTCCGATCGTTCCGCCCGTGTACAGAACCAATACTTTATTTTCATTGGCGCTTTCGTGAATTGACGAGAGGCGCCTCCGGCCTTGTTGGTTTATCAAGTGAATTTGATGCAAATGCTAAAAAAATTAAAATCTTATTTTACAAAATTCGTTTTTTTTAATTTATAAATAGTTCAAAAGTAAACTTCTCAAAAAATAAAAAAATAAATAAAAAAAGCCCAAAATTTTCCTTACTGATGCCGACACTTTCTTTACTCTTCCAGAGGTTGATATAGTCAAATTCTTGGGGAAGAAACTCTCATCAATCGGTGAGCTAACTCTTTTCTCATCAATTTCCCCATTCTCCAGCAGCTCTTCTTCCGGGATCTTTTCCACCGATCCCATCGGGATGTAATTTGGGAACTCGGTAGAGAAACCCTGAAAAAAAATTTTTGGGAAAGATTTTGATGTCAAAGAAACGCAAGGGCGAGAATGCAACAAATACGGCGCGGCAAAGAAAAAGATAGGTTGTAAAGTAAAAACATCCAGTTTTCACAAATTTTGGCCCATTGCTTCCCAAGCAATTTGCAAAATAAACCTTCCTAGTCCGCTTGCCTGAAAAATCAGACGAAAGAATCAGAGATTCAACGGAACCTCGAGCGTTCAGCAAATCATTTTTTTGTCGGGAAGAAATTATTGAATCGCGTGGTTAAAGACGTTTTATAAACATAAGAGAAAAAATGCTGGAAATTTTGACCAAACTTCGAAGATCAAACCGCTGTAAAACTTACAGGGGAAGTGCCCAAAGTGCGGTATGAAGATTTTGTAACACTTGGCAAAAATTTTTATAATTTTTGTAAGGACAAACGAGACTCCTGGCTCGCGTTTTGCAGAAACGACAGAGATTTTTAGATCGAAAGTTGGCAAAAAGATAACACTTTTCTGCGAATTTTGGCACGAAAAGTTACCTGCAAATTTCTCTGTGACCGCTCTCCGCGTTTCTCGGGCGTAAAGATCGTTGAATATCTCGGCCTGCTCTCTAAAACGCTAGCTAAAACTTTGAGATTTTAATTTATTTCCTATGCCCGAGATGTATTCAAAACTTAAAGAAAACCTGAGCGCTGAACTTGCGGTACTTCCACTGTTAAATAAAACTTTCTTGGCCTGACAGCGAAGATGCGTATAAGCAGCTATAAGATCATCAAAAACCTTTGATTGACAACAACACTGGGTAAACACTACCTGCACATTGCAAGAATAGTACGGTGAGATAAGGTGATAAGGAAAAAATCGAACATGATGATCAGAAAGTCAGATGTGGAAGTGAGTCAATAGTAGAAAAACGAACCATAAGAAATTTGGCGAGGAAGGGAAAGATCAAAAAACGCGGCGAGATGTTTTCAATTTATTGCAAAATTTCTGTAATAACGCATGGGGGAAGTGATGTAACAAGCCTTGCGGAAAGAGATAAGTTTTAGTGAACGTCTTTCGATCGGGACCAGAGAAAAATGTCGGAGCTGTACACATTTGCTCAGAAAAACGGAAAGGGTTTTTTGCATATAATAATGAAACAAAATTAACAAAAATACGTTTTCGGGATCCCCAGTCCAGCGACTTGTTAGGTGTTTAACTTTTCGTACTGAAAAACCCAGTGGCGACCCAAAATTGCTGTTTTCAAAATATCAGTTGATGAATAATAATTAAAATCACTCAATTTTCAAAGCAAATGGTGGAAATTTAGTTAAATTAGCTTTAGAAAAACGCTGGAAGCCACATATCAATCAAAAATGTACAAAATTTTAAGAGTTTGCCACATAGTCGAACAAGCGAGTTCAGTTGCTCTTTTAAGCCTAACACTTGGTTTTTAAGCTCACGAATTCTGGACACACACATGTTTCCTCCAAAAAAGCTTCAAATATTGCGCAGTCACAAAAAAAGTCCCCGCGAAAAACCCAAATTCCCATAAAATATTGGTAAAAAGCGAATTTAGCTCAATCTTTTTGCCCTTTGCCTTTCTCTCAACGTTTGCAAGAGAGAAAAATGCATTTTATGTGTAGGCCACTTGGCCATATTTTCTTTTCAAAAAATAAAAAGACATGTTTGAAAAAGGGAGGAAACGTCTGCTCGAAATGACCGGAAGGATGGGAAAAAATGTGACGGCATTAAATTGTGGTGACGTGAGCACAGCATGCTTCAGAGCAGGAGTGTTATTCGATTAAGATTTTCATAAAGAGAATGGACATTTGCTCTATTTTGCACATGCAGATTTTTGTTTGACTTTTCCCCATGTTTACCGCCAACGCGGTTGTATACCTACCTTTGTAGCAGCAATGCATATACCATACTGGCTCTTAGTTTCCAGCAATTGAAAGACCAAATTCATGCATGACGGAAATTTGCGCAAAATTTTGGTTGAAAAACGACCGGTCATGTCAGAATAAAACAAACAACTGCCAAATCATTGAACTTTCCCAGTAAAGTTATCAAAAGTACAACTTCCAGATTTATTCGCAAAAAAAAACCCGGCGATTAGCTGTTGTAATCAAGAGGCGATTTCTCAGTTGCGGAGTATCCTTCAATATCCGGAATAGCGACGTCTTGAGGATGAGACAGCTAAAACACCAACGTTTCAAAGGTTATATTCAAATTTGCATTACGTATGCCCTTTATGCAAGTGCTACGTATACCCTTACCCCATCGTACAACGCCTTGATATGTCCATCGAGTTGAGGATCAATTTTAAATTCATTGAGTTCGTTTTCGTTGCTCAAGAAGGTGCATTGTCGTGGCATAATCATCTGGAACATGCCGCTAAACGCCGTGCCTTGGCGTTGGATGTCAGCGAATGGACGAACAATTCCCTCCTAAAATTGAAGCTGACGTCTTCTAGGAGGTCCGCAACTTTGGAATTTTGTGGTTCACGCGTTCGAAAACAAGAAATATGTAAATTTACGTATCCGGGGTTCTTGTTTTACAATGGAAGTGATCAAACAGCATTCCCGGTTCGAAGAAAACTTGGTCCGAATTCAGACTAGTTTTTTTAAAGACATACATGATCTCTAGGTGCAGAAATAACCGGGATTTTTAGTCTGAAAGTTGGCGAAAATGTGAAATTTTTTCGAGTTTTTTCATGAAAAGCTTTCAGCTCAAAATTAAAAGAAATTTTGAGAGCCACATTTCAAAGACTTTATCCCTAATCATCGCATCTTTTGTTGTTCTTTTAAAATTTTGTTCATTCGTACTCAGCCATTGAATCATCAAAAATCCCACCTAAATGACCTCTTAGAGCGGTCTGAAATCGGCTTCAAGATGAGTGCCGGCCCGCACTCATCTCCAAGCCGATTAAGAGTTTTTATCAGCTCAACAAACCCTGATGTAACAGCGTTCATGCCAAGGTCTTCATCTGGGGTATGTAGCCTACGAGTCGCGACATTCACTTACCGTCAGTAAAGAGCCGGCCATCCCTTGGCATCTGATATTCAGCTTGGTGCGGTAGCACTTCAAAAGACATTTCCCGACGCGGCAGGCTTCATTGGTGCTGAGAGTTGTCATATGCTTATCGAAAAGTTTGAAAAAGCTGAAATCCTTTTCCAAGAAATGCTTGACGGTCAACCCGGTGGCCAGGGCATGCGGTTGACATGAGTAGTCACAGGCTAAATGTATGCAGAGGTATAAATCTGTAAGGGCGGAAAATACCTTCTCTGACAGTTTCAAAGTTCTCCTGGACGCATGGAAGAAGCGCATCCATCGCTGAAAACAGAAAATTTTCGTTTTTTAAAAGTAAAAAAAATAAATAGGCATTTTGTCTTCTACGCCGCTGATCTCAAATCATATTAGGTTTATGATTGATGCTTAGTTCAGTAGCTTGATAATAATACATGCACAGTCTTTTGTTTGTAAAGGATGACTTCAAAAAAAAGACGCCAAAGTACCGGGCCGGGCGGGCTTCTTAAATGTTAAGTTGTTAGGGACGGGCTGGGCGGCGTCGCGACACTTGCGGGCAACCACTTTGCGGGCAACCAGTTTGCGGGCAAATTTTTTGCGGGCAACCACTTTGCGGGCAAAATTTGGGGGGTCACATTTGCGGGCAGCTGAAACATTTGCGGGCAGCTGAGACATTTGCGGGCAGCCTAGGACATTTGCGGGCAACCGACACTTGCGGGCAGCCGACATTTGCGGGCAACCAGCACCTGAGGGTAACGGGGTGGAGGTGGAAATATTACTGCGATATTTTGGAAATTTGCCGACATTTGCGGGCAGCCGACACTTGCGGGCAGCCGACATTTGCGGGCAACAGGAAAAAACAATCACACAGACTGTATAGGAACTTTTGGAACTGTTGCCCGCAAATGTCGGTTTCCCGCAAGTATTGCCTGCCCGCAAATGTCGGAAAACTTCCAAAATATCGAAGTAATTTTTCCACCTCCACCTTGTTATCCTCAAGTGCCGGTTGCCCGCAAATGTCGGCAAATTTCCAAAATATCATAGTAATTTTTCCACGTCCACCCTGTTACCCTCACAATCAGGTGTCGGTTGCCCGCAAATGTCGGCTGCCCGCAAATCTTCCAGGCTGCCCGCAACTGTCGACCCTGCCCGCAAATGTCCCAGGCTGCCCGCAAATGCCGGTGCTGGCCGCAAATGTCGGCTGCCCGCAAAGTGGCTGCCCGCAAAAAATTTGCCCGCAAACTGGTTGCCCGCAAAGTGGTTGCCCGCAAGTGTGCGCCCGCCGGCTGGGCATCGAAAATTTTGAAAACGGGCCGGGCCGGACCGATTTCATTGGGCCGGGCTCGTGGCCTCAGGAGCAAAAAGGCCATCCCCATGTCTGCTAGCAGACTACTCTCGACTTGGGTGCTTTAAACAAAATCATAGTGCCACACCTGAACAAGTTCCATAATAACATATGCAATCTTGGATTTGCAAAAATGATAAGCACATTTCAAAGGGTTGGCTACAAATTTTTGTATTCTTAGTGTATATGAAATAACACCACCCCTGCGATTTTCTCTTGCGAATTGTATCGAACTCTCCGAGAAGACGACGCATTGCCAAATGGACACTTTTTTTGCATGCTAACAAATTCATCAACGCTTCCGCTCGTCGATACAAGCATAAATCGTCTTAAGTGTTTGCGAAAATCGGCTGAAATTAACTGTAGTCATTAACTAAAAACACCTCTCGGAATCAGTGATCTTTTGGTTTGTAATCCCACCTTACCGTAAGCTCCCTATCTGATTTTATACATTAAAGTAATTTTTTCTAAAAAAATTATCGCATTTTCAAAAAAAACTTGCGTGTTAAAAAAATTTTACGATCTTTAAGTCACGGCAAAAACAAATTTTTTTCGCTTTCAATATGTATCATGTTTTACATGGTGGTCCATTGCCCTGCGGTTCGCATTCGTATTTTATTTAGGAAAGAGATCTTACCGCAATTTGCCAAATTGGCATCGTGCCGCTGCCTACTTGGAGTTTTTTTTATGAACTTACCGTCTCAGTTATTTATATATGTGATTTATATAAGTGGCTGTAAGCTGCTAAAAGTGCAAGCACTCATACGAGTGACGTAGCAAAACGAAGGGAACTATGATCTCTTTTTTGTATTGTAATAGTGACTATACTGCTGATTTCTGTCATAGTGCCAATGATTCGAAAATCATTTTTTCATAAGAGAGGGTACAGGAAATAAGGAGAGTGCACAGAGGAAAGTAATTCTTGACCATATTTTTTGAATTTATAGGAGGTGTACTATTTTGATGAAACTAGGCAAAATTTTAGCACAATTTTCTTATGACATTCTAGATTAATATGTAGTTCGCGCCTTGCAGAAAAGATCGGGATTTTTAGGTCAAAACTTACAAAAAATATGACACTTTTTTGCAAATTTTAGCATCTAAAGTTTCATGCCTTTTCGACCGTTGAGGGTAACGTCTCCATCAAAATTTAACTTTTCAAGATTTTCAGACAAGAGAAACTTGAACGTTGCATCCAGCTGTCCTTTTTCAACTCACCTTTTCTCTGATATTCGCAGAGATACTGTAGTCCGCTGCTGATGGAATCAAAGAAACTGGTGACCTGACAGTAATATTTCTTTTGCATGCATTTTTTTGCTTCATCAAAGCGTCTTAAAGTCCGATCCGTCAAACGAGCGCAACATTCATGACCTACTTGCATGTGTCGTTAAAGTTTTTGAAAAGCTTGACGGTGGAGCCTTCAAGGACTCCGTTTAAGGTTTCCATAAAGTGCCTGCTGCAATGTCCTGCGCAACCTCCGAGAGCAGCGTTGTTGCTGACTTCAGATCGTTGCAAATCATCGTCTTTTACTGATTTCGGAATGATTTCATATTCGGCTGGTCTCTGGGCCGCGGGGCTGAAAATTTTGTGACGATTACTAGAAAGCCGACTAATTAGGAAGGCAGGTTTTGTTTTCCGTGAAAAACCGCATCTTATGAGCGCTTATACTCCTAGTTTTACAATGTCGGAAGCCTCTTTTGAAGAAATGTTGTAGTAAATATGAAATTCCAAAAATTCCCAAGACATTTATGTGAAAATTGGATGTCCTAAAGGGATTTAGGAATCTTGTTCTACTCGATTTTGTGTGTAAATTCCCATAGTGCTTGTAAGCTTGGTAATTGCATGAACAGATAAGTTATTACATGACCATAATAAGCAGAAATCCCTCGGCGAATGATACGAAAGGCCGCTCTACTCACCGATCGAAAATACTCTCCTGATCAAGTGGAGAATCTCCACTGCAAGTCGTAAAACATATCGTGGAGAGGAGTACACAGAAAGCAATTTTCATCGTAGTACGATGAACTAATGGATTCCGATGATCTTAGACTGCTCCAATAATACGCTATGGAAGAACAGGGAATTTAATTTTATCGGTCATCCCGCTGATTCACAAGATTGGAAAGCGAACGTGATTCCCTTGAGAAAAGCCCGGAAGCCGTTCTTTGGCCATACGGCGGTGCAATAATTCGATCTGAACTTTTATCCTACAGGTTTGGATATTATGCAGATGTTTCGTCTAAAAGTTATAGATCACGAAAATGGACCGTTCGCACCGGGTGAAAAGTTCAGAATTGAGTAGCATCGTGTCTGCTGTAGGAATTAAGCCCTATTTTTTTATTTCCGATGTATATGAAAATGGCAAACGCTTCTCAGAAAAGGACGTCAAATTCTGGTCTTTAAGAATCAGTTGCTAAATTAAGAGGTTTTAGTGGACTTAAAAGTGCATACTTTTTCTCCTTCCGTTTCCTTAATGTGCGACATTGCCATTAATGGCACGTTTCCAAGATCTTTTGTTCGCCGTTCGCTGCCGTCACTTTGTACTCTTGGTACTGGGATCTATTGAAATTTACAATATGTAATGTCTGTCTCAGTTTTTCCCTTTCCGATTATCCCTATAATTCATTGTGCAGATGATAAAATTATCCCGTCTTATTAATAGCTCGCATTAAGTGTCGTATCCTGAAAGCCGCCCTTACTCGCTGCTATTCTTGGCGCTCCAGACTGTCACAGCGTCCCTATTCTCGTGCAAATCTCGTCGCTTTTTCAGCCGAAAACAATATTAATCATCCCGAAATAACCCATACCGCTCGCAGATTATAATGCCAGTATGGAACAAGGCCAGAACGCACTTTTGGCTGGTTAATCATTTTCTATGTTTAACCCTTCAAGGCATTATCCCCTGTTAGATCGACAGAAAGCTATTGGCGAGAATAAGTGCACTGTGTGTGGGAGAGTTGCGGCTTGTGGTTGAAGGAAGCATCAACTTAAAAATAACGACATTTGCCTAGCCTACAGGGGAAGTACTCCAAGTGCGACGCCCGGATTGTCTTTAAATTTTGCACAACCGTTTGTCATGAATCAAGTATCAATTCCTGAAGGTTTGAGCTCGCGCTTTGCAGGCGCAGCCGAGATATTCAACGATCTTTGCGGCCGAGAGAGTACGCAAAACGCGGAGAGCGGTCAGGGAGAAAAAGCTTGTTTTTGGCCATAACTTCGCCAGTTTCGTGAAAAAATTGGTTATTTGTGGAAACATTACCCTCTATGGTAGAAATAGGCGTGAAACTTTTCGTGCCAAAATTCGCCAAAAATTGTCAACTTTTCGCCGACTTTCCGCCTAAAAATCTCGGTTGTTTCTGCAAAGCGCGAGCTAGGATTCTCGCATGTATTTTAGAAAAAAATATTCTAAATTTGTGTCAGGTTACATGAAAGTCTGAGCGTCGCACTTGGGGCACTTCCTCTATTAGTTCAGCTTTTAGCAGTATTACATAAACCTAAACTTACTCACAAAACTCTCCTTAATTTCCAATTAGAGCTATTATCCTAGACTGAATTGCAAGAATTGCCAAAACTAATTACCAATATATAAGATAAACAAAATCGAATTACCTTGCCCTATGTTGTCCTCCAGACAATTTAGTTAGACATTCCACACCTTTTCTGAGTCTGCGTTGATGACTCAGCGTGCTGGTAAATCCCTAATAAATTCCACAAAAGGCATATTTAATAATATTGGTCATGCTTTTTTTGAGAAAGCCCCGCAAATCCGGGGGTTGCGTAATTGTTGAAAGATGTTTAATCTGAAGTAAAAGTAATCTCTTTGGTATTTATTTTGGTATTTGACGCGAAATTAATACTCTAGAACTGATACTAGAGAGGTATTGGAAACGGTAAGTGTAAAGCGGTTTTGCAACATTGTATATGTACTGCAACATATATACATATGTATTTATGTTGCAGACATATATACATATGTATTTATGTTGCAGAATACGTTGCCAAGGTAAGGTGTTTTTGACTCTCAATCATGCCGTTTCGTACACTTCAAGATGCTACCGACAGTTTTCAAACCCATCTAATTTCAATTTCTAAATAATATTTTGCAGAAATTGAATGGAGCCCAGTGTTGAGGGTTTCTTCAACGAAATATTCCACCAATAAGGTGATGACTATCCCTGATTAGTCATCACGAAGGATTTTCCTACCGTTTCTCTATGTCATCGTCGGCAGGAGTGTTTACGTAAAGCTTGGATTAGATGCATTATATTATATTACCTTCCAACGTAATCTTGCATAATATAATCACGACTACATGCATATCCAAGTAGTCAGGCCAGAAAATCTTAACATGTCTTCGGTCGCGCGAACGCCATCGCGATGTGAGCTAGCACGGCATAAAAATAGGCGGCGTACGAAGGATATCGCACTGCGAAATCTACAAGTGTGTAAAAATTTATCGTTTTACCGATTGAGTTTTGCAACATGCGAGAAAAATATTTTTTGAATGCTTTCCCCCGTTTTTCTCTTCAATTCACAAGAAATATTAAAATTTCCATAGTATCGGGTCAACGATACTATGGATCGCAATCGGTTCGTCATTGTATGCATGGGAGAGGCTAACAATAAGTTAGTAAGGGAAATAAGATTGCTTTACCGCCATTTAGGTCTTTTATATATGTTACAATAGCTAAGGGTAAAGAAAACTAACGTTAGTGATAGCTAAAATTAGAAAAAGTGGGCATATTGCAATTCTTCGCCAGGTCTGCGCCGAGCGGGCGTTAACCATCCAAGCCTTCCCACGCACTTTCTGCAACCTTTTTTTGGGTAACCATCTCATGTGTTCGGTGCGTATTTCGCATGTTTACGGCTAGGGAAACGAAACGCCCAGACAATTACTATTGCACCAATAACAACAAGAATAAATTATGGTGACATTCTACAAGTGTACCAGTGGTTATTTTACCATTTTTCGTAAGGACTTTGTTTTCAGGGCAGGAGACAAAAAGTTGCTTCTGACATTCGGTGTCCCATGCCGTCAAAAGCGCGGTTCAAAAGTAGCTGTACTGGCCCTTTAACCGCAATTTTGAAGATTCCACGAAACCGGCACGTGAGTCTAATCCGTACGCCGTGCTGGCGTCATCGGTTATTTACTCGGATGTTGAGGCCGGATGGGCGCAAATCGGTCAAATGCTTTGATTATGAAAGTGGGAGGAAGCGGGTCACATTCCGCCAGTGTGTTACGTGCATTCGCAGTTTAGCTGTTTGAACTTAACTTGCACGCTGAGTTGAGGGCAAAGAAGATCCGGTGTAGAGAGCCGGCTTCAGCGGACACAGCAGGCGAAACGACAAGGATTAGGCTATTAAAATTTGTCGTTTGGAAATAAGGAAGTGAGGTAAACGATTATACGTATCGGCAGTTGCGTTTTGTCGCTAAAAGTGTACTGTAGTCTTTGAAAATTACTAGTATATTTAGTATCAATCAGTAGGGAAAATATTTTTCATTTGTCGCTTGAAATTGCCCATCGTCGATTTGTGACAGCTAGCCGCGGCTGGAGATTTGGTGCGCAGCCTTGAGGAGGCCAGAAATTTTACTGCGATAAATCCACATTATTTTCACGACAGACTGACATTTATTCTTCCACTAGTCGCGCCGTAAAGTCCGTAGAATTTCGCATGCGTTCATCCCTTTCTTCGCGACTTCCCGTTCTTGCATTAGCGATATGCACTGTTCTGCGACGTCGCCGAAAAAATTCTGTGGACTTCATGGCGCACCTAATAGACAATAATCGAATTTTAAAAGGTTCCAGAAGACGTAATGTATAATAAATTATTTTTTCACCCTTGGCTTGCTTATCAATTCTGCGCCGTTTTTTGCGTGCACAGTTACAAAATTGATTTCCTCTTGCGTAGACGTTCACCTGTTCCCAGTTGACGTTTCAATGTCACATGGGGGCGCATTGTAAAGTTCGCACGGTCCTGTGATTAATCATAGCAACAGCGACTTATAAGGAAGTGAACCTTTTTGTTTGATAATTGTGTAAAATGCACAATGGGACTTATCCGGGTGTCGTTTGGACTGTGCGTCATTGTATGTCTTTCAAAGATAAATGCCTGTTGTAGCATGATCTCCGTCATTGTCTGGATAAGGGCGAAAAAGCAATAGATGCAAAAATCGCGACAAAAATTGGACGGTCTTTGCTCGTTTTGCGCTGTTTTATGTAAAAATTTTTCTGCACAGATGTACATACGTAGCGCATTGTATTCGCTGAATCTGCTTTCGCTTGCGATTTATTTGGGGTTTATATAAAAAACCTGAAGCGTTGCATACATCAATAAAAGTTAGAGCAAAACGTTCCCTTTCAATAAATGTCAACTTTCCGGAAACCGCTTCCCAGACCGCAAAGACACGGTTGAAAAGTAGCTCTACCGTTAGTTTAAGTCCAGTAGCTGTACCGATCCATTAAGCCTAACTACGCCTAGCAGCTGTACCCTTTCTTAAAGCCTAACCTGACGGTCAGCAAAGAATTTGGGATGCGCCAGCCATACAAATCATAGTCTGAATCCGACGGGACTGCGCAGCGCGGTAAAATTTGTCTGATAGGCGGTGTTGATCGTTCTTGAGGGCTTTCAAATTTATAATACTGCAATGCTAACAATAAGGTGGATTAGCAAAAAACTGACGGAATTATTCAAAACCAAAAGTCACTCGTTGACGAATGTAAATCCTCTAAGTTGGCATTTTCTTCATGAAGTGTGAATCCAAATTGATAAATTGGCGTTTACGGAATGCCTGGGGGAAGCACGACGACTGCAAGTTTTCTGCCCCACAAGAGAGTTCCCAGGAATACAAAACATACAATCTTTGTACATTTTACTCCGTCTTTTTCTGTGATTATCAAAACACGACCTGGCTGACATACCGTGTATTTAATTTCAAGGGGAAAATACCTTAATTTACTAGGGTATTTAATGAAAATTAAAAATTATAATCATTTCTTTTTTTTTACCCGCTTATACCTTTCGATGTATCTTTCAAGTACGATATATCGGATATTCAAAACATTATACTTTTTCAACCGTTTTCTGAGTAGTATAGTACAAATGTTGAGAGTGTATTTTGCAACGTTTCAAGCTTCCATCATCTTGAAAAACCCCTCAGGCAATTTGTGCATTTTCTCGAACGGCTCCAATTACAATCCCGCCGGATACTGTTACAGCAAATTAACGGTAATTGCCATTACTGTTCACTTCCGTGCAGTCACATGGGCGACGCAATTCTTTTTCGATTTTTTGTGGACCAAAGTTTTTTTACACATCGGTGTGTTACAGGGAAACAGGTTTAACAAAAAATGATGCGAGCACTTGCGGGAGTCCAAAGCACAATCAAAAGATGACACGGACGCTGCACAGCGATTTGGCTAGTTGCTAAAAGCGCATAAGATTTACGGCTGTAATCATTTGGCCAGGTGACTACAAAAAAGAGTATATGGAACCCGTTTCTGTGACTCTTGCGGGTCCAAGGTTTGCGCACAATTAATGTAAACTTTCGTGATTCTCCTTCCCGCGCACTCGCGCTATGACTTACCTTCAAGAAGTCTGTTTCATATCATATGAGAACATTGAAGATGACGGATGAGTTGCGACAATTTGATTCGCAACAAATTTATCAATTCTCTTTTGCAAAAAAAAACCAAATAAGTGTGGGCTCATTTTTACAGCCGTTTCTATTTTGAGGTACTGAGAGAAGTTCCGATATGTTGTTTTGCTTGCGGTTGGTGATATGGAGGGTTGTGAAACTTCAGCGGACGTGGATTCTAACCCAACTTGGGAAAAATTTAGATTATTGTCCTCTATTTGGTAACGCCTTTCTGCGAGTTTAAGCATAAAACGCTTCAAACGTACCAAAGAGATTATCGTTTCTACTAAAAAAACGTCGGCTAAATGTTTTTGAATATTTTGACTGCCCATGCTAAATGTGAGCTAAATTTTATAACGAATTTTCTTGCGTATGTGCGTATAAACAAAATTTTAGCGTTAAACCCTTTTTTTGTTAGTTGAAGAGGATAAATTCAAGTTTTTTTTATATGATCTGCAATGTCAAAGATATAGTTCACCGACAAAACAGAGTTGCCCTTTTAGCTACCTGTGAGGTCTTGGTGTTTTGATAATTTCAAACATTCTGAACATGTCTCTTATTCCAATCAATCAAGAAAGTTGAATTCTCGTGAGTAGTCAGGATGAATAAACGTTTCTCCATTCCCGCAGATTGCTTTTGGTTAGAAATAACCTATTATTTTTTCTTTTCTATTTTAAGCAATTGTGTATGTAGTGTGTCTGGTCTAAGGTATTTCTTCCTTTTTTGCGTGTACAGAACACCAATTTCTCGGATATTCGAACTCGTTTTTTGATAAGAATTGGCATCAATTCTTACAGACACTTTTTTACAGCTTGGATCCGAAATTTCAAAAAAGTTTTTTTTTCGCCTTCTGTCGCAAAAACCAGTAAAAAAATTTTTCCATATAAATGTAGGATTCCACTATAATTTTTTCCCGCCATTATAGTCAAAAAAGACCAGCATTTTTCCCGGAAGTTTCGTCTCCCAAACCGCTAAATACGTGATAGCTGTACTTAGAAGTTCACGCTACTTCTGAGCCATGTGCTGGTGGAGCAGTCGCTTCGTCTCTCATCGCATTTGTTACTTCTTATGACAAGCCCATTTAACGCCGTTTATGCAGCAAAAAAACTCTACTTCATACACCTACTCTTTCCGCGGTTTAGAAATCACCAACCCCCCAAATGCTTAATCCATAACGTCAGCGATTTTGACTACACTCATCATGAAAATTATAATAGCAAAAAGATGTTCATATGTTATTATAAAAGTGGAAAATTCTTTTAAAATGAAGAAGCGACTTTTTTATTACCGTTATTTCTTATGCAGTTTATTAATTGACTCCACAGAATTTAATATCTGTATACTGGAACATTTTTACAACACTTGGAATACAATTTAAATAAAAATTGGGCACAAAGGTTAAGTTGGAATAACGACATATATGTACAAAATGTTAAATTTGGGAGATTACAAAAACTTACTCTCGAACCAAGTTACTAACCTGAAGTAGGACCATTGCGAAAAGAGGCGCAAAAGATACTAAATAGGCTCGTAAACGATTACATCTTTTAATCCAACTCACATTCAGTGATTTTTGACGAAACGCGTCCAACAGTCATGTATAAAACAAAGCCGTTTGGTGAATGGAATGGAGTCAAATCAAAAAAAACCTTTTTTTTATTATAAACAACATTTCACGCCAGTTTTATGTATCATTTAAATGATCAGAACTACTTTTGAATTGTGACTTTATGGCTTGAGAAACTCAGTGTCAAAAAAGTTTTTTTCTTTCCTGCCACAAAAACAAATCCGGCAAAATTGCAAATAGTAAAATAATTTTACCGTTTGCAAAGTCTGGAGTATTTTTTGCGACGAGCACTGGGAGAAATCAACGCTTAAAGAATTTATATAATCTACACTTCAGCCCTCAAAAAAGTCCAAGGTGTTAATAAATATGAATTTATTAGAATACAGCAGTGTAATTTCTCGTGCAACAAACAACCCGTAACCGAGTCTTTACAACAATCGTCTACAATAAATTACTCAACAACGTATAAAATTCAACAAGAAAGACGGCTATCGTTGGATATATTTGCGTGGTATGTTTTGTGTAAGGGGAAACGGTAGAGATCCTGTTCAAGTTTTTTCTGAGATCACCAGGAAGGATCAACCAATAACAATTTTGTTCAAACAAGAAACTAACTACATCACTAAACAATCTATCTGTAAGACAGGTCATTGCACATGGCTAAAATCGCCGGCTGCGAAACGACTTAGACGGATCGTTGACTGCGGTAAAAGTCGTCCACTGTTGCGCCTTTGTTGCATAGGTCGGTGTTGCAAACACACCTTACGACGTAGTTCGAGCCTTGTTGTCCCAATAAGGTTTGAGCGGCGATTTTGGGATTCACCTGACCAGAGTTTATCACCAGTTTGTACATGTCGTATTTCTGAAAAACGCAAAATTAGTAAAAGAAACAAATAATTTTATATATGTCGTCCCGAAAGATAGGAAGATTAATTAAACATACCTCGTGCATGCAAATCGCAACAACCGAGTGGCCGTCGTTTGACTCGTTTAGCAGCGCGTCAATCTTGGTTTGCTCGGTGACCGCAATGTCGTCGTTCGTGAGGCCAAACATGTGCGCATTATCCACTTTGCCGTCGTCGTCTATCCGCTCTGGTATCACAGCACAAAACTTTATTTCGGGAGAATCGATTGTTGTCACCATTCCCTGTAATTTTGGTCTAATAAAAACCCGCAGACAACAATGCTTTTAACGCTCACAAAAGAAACAATTAAAAAAGCTTCAGGTGATTTAAAAGTTATAGGTAAAATACTGACCTCTTCATTACTGTAGCAAGACAATCCACTGGCTGTGTAAATGCAAGTAAGCACAAGCAGCGACGCCCTGTAGAAAGTAGTCATTGCGGAGTCCAAATTGTTCATAGCGGGCAACAAATAGATATGCGAAAAGGAAAATTAGAATGTGCAGTCGGCAGCGACCGTAGTGGAAATGCAGCAATTTAAATCAAAGTCCGTGAACTGACAGTTAGTAGTAAAGATGGCGCTCGCTTAAATACTGCGGACCTTTTAAGCCCAACCCCTCCTGTCCGGGTTCTTTTATTCGTTTTTTTCGTTTCTTCTGTCTAAGGGCAAGCGGTGGGCGGAGCCAAATCCTTCGTATTGGCTACTGGGACGAGCGCCTTACAGAAGGATCTCAGATCGTGGAAAGGGCGGACCGATAAAGGGATTTTCTGACTACATCAACCATTAAGGCGATTATCGACGAAAAAACTATGAAGCCTTACAAGGTAGCAGTCGATCAAAGAAGAAGGTCGACCGGAATGCTAAAGATTCTCTCAAAGATATAAATTCTGAAAAGAAAATATCATCAACGAAATACGACAATAACATTAGCGTTCCAGAAGTATAATCACAACAAGATGGTTTGATTTACAGGTCTTAGGTACCTATTTTGTCTATAAATAAAGTATTTTTTGGATGCTTTGACCATCAAAATTTCTTTTGTAGCTTGACGGAAGTACTCCGGATGAGATATCAGGTTATCAGAGCTTTCTATATTTTATGGTTTAAATAAACGGTAAAAAAGTGACTCGACTTGTGGTAGCAATTCCACAAAAAAATATAGCAGACTTCCAATCAAACTTGCTGGTTGATAAATTCAACTATACAGCAAGAGAACCTAAATCAACGGCGATTCTCACCCACCGAATGTGAAATAGTAAAACTTGCAGGTGTCTAAATATGACGTGTGGCAGCTCTTGTACATTTGGTCCCTGTCGTCTTATGCGAACACCCTATAAATTTCAACGACATCTTGGGATACTTTTTGATCTTGTAATATGTTTTATCCGATTTAACTTAAATTCTTTGACTCTTTACAAATATCATTTCCTATAGTCTGCATTTCGATTTTGACTGATTAAGGAAAACTTTCAAAAGACCGGAAAAGGACTGTAAATGAATTTGAAGATGAGAAAACCCTTCCAACCAAAAAAGATAAAGTTCTGTTCTAGAATTTTTAATCTTTGGAGCGGTAAGTGCTTGATTAATTTTTGACTTTCTGAGGTTGCGTGAGGGCAAAGAGAGGTCCACATAAGGCTATATGTCCTTTATAGACGTAGTTGGCGGCGGGCTCATTAAGTAATGGTAACTCATAGTCTCGAAAAAAGAGAATACTGTACGGCTCGGTTTATAAAACCAAAAACAGGCTCTTCGAGGTTGCATGACAAAGTTCAATTAATAGCCGAAAGAGAATTTCTGGAAATGCAAAGAAATTGCCGTCTTCGAGTATTGCAAATTGGCAGTAATTTGGTTGTACAAAAGGGTAAATTTTGCGGGGATATTGTAAAAAATTAATTATGAGTAAGTAACACTGTCGTTCGAGTACGGCAAAATGACCGAAATGAGTGTTGTTTGTTTTTTTACAATTGGCTGTCACATTACATAAAGGAGTTCAATTACGATTTGAATAAGATAGTTGAGGGTAATAATTACTAACGGCAGATTGGAAATGATAAGCTTTAGCTTCCCACCCCCAATTTTTCAACATTTTAAAAAAATGCCAAACGTATTAAATACTGTTCCAAAGTCATGTATAATAGTAGCGACAATTAAATAAACCATGTTGTTAGATCTCTTAAAGATGTTATTCATTAATACCAGTCTTGAAATAATTTGGTATCCATCATGTCCCCAACTTTTATCCAAACGCTGTTTTTTCCCGGTAGCCTCTCTGATACGTATATATCCATATATTTATTTAAAATGTCAACAAATTGGGCTTAATTTGGCAGTTCGAGAATGAATAACAAAGACATAATGGGGTAAGGAATGTGACAACAACATCTTCAAAGATACCAAGCAAAATTAAGACTTTGAAGCAACAATGCGAGTACGATAATGCACCTGGGTTTGGGATAGCAATATTTTGCGAGAGATTACATGGATTAGTAATTGATAGTACTGTAAGTTTAGAAAAGGCAAGTGAGTTTGGGCATGCGACCTTTGAGGAAGGATGGAAGCATTATTTAGCATATCTAATTAAAGGGCTCCTAAAGTAATACAAAGGTCAAAGAAGTTGAGGGATACTAAAAGTTAGTCAGGTATAATACTTAGTGCAAACATCGTCATGTAATCCTAACAGTAAGAAACACGGGCCATTCTTCTTGTAACTCTCCTTTCACATTTTTCCGCCCTGTTGAGTAATTCTACAGCTTCTTGAACCCGAAATACTACGTCTTCCGAGTACCCTTCAACCCTTGTATGGCGGCCAAGACAGAAAAAATTAAACTACAAGTACAACGATTCAGATAATTAGACAAAGATTTTAAGTTGCTCGGAGTAAAAGTCTTCTATTGTCGTGCCTTTGTTACAGTAATTTGTCGAACACAAGCACCTCGTCATGTATTCCGGCTCGGGAAGTTTGTGAACAAACTTTGGGCCGTACGACTTTTTCACAATTGCGGCAATGTCGTATTTCTGGAAAAGGAGAAAATTAGAAAAACAGATTTCAGAACTTTGACTTTAAATTTATAAATATAAAATCAAAGATATAAAGGAGATACCCGCTTACCTCTTGAATGCACAGACTAAGCAACGTGGTGGATACAAACATCTCGTCGTATCCTCCCATATCGTCCATATCCGCAGTCAACCCGTACTGACTTGCATTTGTGGGCTGGCCGTCTTTGTCGTGTCCAGCGGGTATTGTTACACAATACTTGAAATCCGAATCTTCAATAACTTCGAGGAAGCCATTCTCATTCGAAAAGCAGGAAAGGCCAGCAACCTTGGCAATAAGCGGTATAAAAACAAGCAGCGTCGTCGATTGGAACATGGTGTAATAAAAGAAATTTGCGTTCGAAGGGACCAGAGTAGAATTGTTCGTGGTAACGTAGAGTCTGACAGCCCGGTTGGGTTGCTTTACACTGTAAGTTCTAGTCACCAAATTTTTGTAGCTGGAATATACAGTTGTCGGGGTGTGCTGGTACAAACCTTAAATGACAATATTAATGTGGAAAAGGCTACAAACCGCGGGAAAATACGATCTCGCAATCTCTAATCAGACGGATTCTCATTTGGAATAGTCATTTTATTTTGAGAAAAAATAATCAAAAGCAAATCGTCCCTGTTTTGAATGGATAAATAAAATGACCACAGGGTCGCCGCTGTTTCTTACGGTAGGAAAAAAAGATAGCCAAAGATTATAAGAAGTGCAAAACACCGAGCACTGCCTACTGCTACGCTCCCAAGAATCAGAAGGATACCTCTCCGGTCGGCTCTTCTAGCCACCGGCGATTTGTTTTCGGCCTTATCAATGTTTATATAGCGAAAAATAGCCATGTTCCGCCCCTTTTCATGTGAAGACGAGTGGGATTTAAAAGAGGCCTTAATAATAAGGCGAACCGGCCCATTTTTTCTCCCCTCTAATATCCCATTGACAAATCCGCTTTGTTTCCACCCTCAGGGCAAATAAATGTTTAAGGCAATAATCGCCAATGTTTGATCGACTCCCTGCACAACACAGTAAAATACAGTGAAAACGTCTAAATCCTTCAAGCGTCCTTCTTATCACCGTGCCTCACATTAACCCGACTTTTGAACACTTTCAAACTCAATTTTACACAGGTACGACAACTTTCAGGCAATTTCAAAGCAAACTATTATAACAGTTTCTTTTCGAAATACCGAATCTAAACTTTATAACAGCTGCGACAAGTCAAAGTCGGGTTAATGCGTTATACCCCATTTTTACACCAGTAAGCAGGTGGAAAGCCATGTAAAGACTTTGAACCCCGTCAATACCGTCAAAATACATAATTTGGATCAAATAAACGTAGTAATTGTCCTAAATTTGGTTAACAGAATCTTATAGAATACGTCTCCAAGGTTAAATTAACGTAAATATGATTGTGAGGTAGGAGCTTGTCCCATAATATAAAATTATAAAACAGGGTTGATCGAAAGAAAAACAAAAAAGTCTAAAAAGAACTCGTTCTTGACCTTCCTTAAAATAGCATCGATTGAATTTATATTAAACCAAAGTTCATTCATCCATAGGTCATCTACACATTTTCGAAAATGAGGGTGTATCTTGACAATACCATGAGCGGCTTTTATTCCCACTTTTAGTTTAATTTATAAAAGTCAAAACGCACGTGGCGTTGTGATGTTTGTTTTCCCCTCGCAACACATAACTATACATCTAATATGAGCGAGAGATCGGACATTGAAATGAAGTTTTACGTCAAGTACTAAAGTTTACAACCGGCATGACGTGAAAAAGGGTTTGTAAATCTAACTTATGCCCGGGAATGGGCATAGATCGGTTATTGCCAAAAAATAGGCTGACCATTTGTTGGGCAGCTTCATTTCGTTACCCAGAAAAACACAGATGTCATAGACAATACACAATACTGGTGTGCTACGAGTGCATGATACGCGGTTTAAATTTTTGGGCTTAAAGGTCCGCAGTATTTAAGCGAGCGCCACCTTTACTACTAACTGCCAGTTCACGGACTTTGATTTAAATTGCTGCATTTCCACTACGGTCGCTGCCGACTGCACATTCTAATTTTCCTTTTTGCATTTCAACATATGCTCCACGAAAAGATGTTGAACTCTCCTGTAACTCGGTTCAAAGTGTACCTATCCGAACCTAACGAAATGGTACACTTTTTTACGGACCTCTCTAGAAAAGTTGGTGCAGGATTACAAATTCGCATTCATGGCAAAAAAACCAATTCATGGTTTTGAAAATCCTAAGTTCAAGTTAAGGTTTAGAAAAATCTCGAGTTCAAGTTTAAGGTCAGAAGAATTCGTAGGCCAGGTTCAAAATATCAGCTCGACAGGATAAATAACAAATTTTTGCTTACAAATAGACACTTTTCTTACTGCACTAAAAAGTTCGGGTCCTTCCCGCACTGTACATTTTCCTTTCGTTTTCAGCAAGACACAATGGTACGGTTTTTTAATTTCGCAAAGAGTAAATGCTCACCACAAAAGCAGTTTAGGTACGAGCCAGCGGCTGGTAAACCGAGGGCCTATTTCCGAATTTCGTAAGGCTTTTTATTAACCCAAGTTCTAAAAAAATTTACTTCCATCTTCCATAAAATAATTCCTGATTCACAGATTTGACTAATACTACCAATAAAAATAAAAAAGGCATCTACGAAATTGTAAATGTTCTTTGTAAAAAGCAATGATTAAACATTTGGAAAATCGGCTTTTGTGGCGCTTATTCTTTTGCCGCAGCTGTCATTGCGCTGACATTTTTAAATATACATGCATCTGATCAAATCCAGAACCCACTTCCGAATAATTTAATACTATTTTCGTATTGTAAACAAATCGGATTATGACAAAACCGCGATGAGTCAAGGAATTTAGAAATATGCACTTTTTTGGCGTTTTTGAACGCATTTTTGTTTCTGCAATGAAAGTTTCCGCATGCGTCTGTTACAGTTCCTCTGCACAAACAATGTTGAGATCTAGGTAAACCCATAATTATACGCCTGTTACAATTAATGTGGGAGTTTTGACTTTATGAACTTTTAGTAAAATGCGTTGATAATTAATGTTTAGCACTCGAGCCAATATCATACCGTTTCTCAAAGAAAACTCTATCCGGAAGACACTCAATACTGCCCACTAATTTGACATTGTAATCCGCAATTGGTTTTGTGTACGCTGCGAATCCGGACATACCATTTACATACGCCGTCGTATGAGTAATTCTTAGCTTTTGGCACAAATCCGGGTTGCTTCAGCAGACCAGAGAGGCCGAGACTCCTAGTATTAACATTTTTGAAGAAGGTAGTTAGCGATGAATAAGGTGAAAATTGAACTCAATTCAATTAATTTCTTTGGACATTCTGACTAAATAAATACTCAATGAATGTTACGAATATTGTAATTGAGATTAAATGCCGATTAAAGGACGAGTTGTCGAGTATTTAGAGAGTGAGTTGAAGGTGGAGGACAAAGATTGTACACTGAAAGGCCATGTGATTTGGTGAATACAATAACCAACGACATCAGGTCAAATTAATGGAACGTCGTCAATTGGGGGAAAACGAAAATTGGAGAAATTGAAAAATATTCTTTTTTCTGCATACCGCCGCAGTAAAGATAAACGATGGCGTAAAAAATCATGTTAATTTTTTCGCTTCCCAGTTTAGCAAACCCAAGGCTTTTTTCGGTGCTAGTTTGTCGTCTAAAAACGACAAACGTCTAAAAATATTTGCTACGATGACCAAAAACGGATATTTCGACCCAGTTCCGAGGATTCATGCCCAGTATGTAGTTATTTCTTCTAACTACATATTCATATCATTAGCTCGACGCGTCAGGAAGTCTTCTTACTTGTCAGACAAAATTTCAAATATAGTTTGGCTTTGCATATGTTTGTTTTTGTGCATACTATTTTGTACATATAAAACTACATTATGGTCAAATCAGAGGAATTTGTATTACCGAAATGCTTGTTAAATGGTGACTGTGCCTTATCCTAATTTAGCTTATGCGATTAAAACCCTGCACGCAAACGATTAATTATTACAACTTCCCTTATTGGGGCATTAGTGCGGTCAAAGTTTTGAAATCAGAATCCGGCAACGCTTTTTTTGATGAATGCAAGAGCACAATATCGAGTTGCTTAGGCTGAAAAAGCGGATTAATTCTTGAAATGGAGCGTGCATTACCATGTCCAATTTTTTGGCAGTTTCTTTGCGAGAAATCGCTTTCCCGGCGACACGAGATCAAAGCGACGCAGGAACAATTTTCTGTCATCAATCACGTCGACTGGCGGCGACACATGCAGACAGCAGATACCTCTGGCCATTGGCTTTCTGGCACTGTGGTTCCGGTATACTATTGCCAAACTTTCCAGACAAACTTTTAATACATTGTTAGGTCGCCAATGTTTGAATTTGATGCGCAAATTTTCCCTATTTTTCAGACACACCCGAAAACACTTCCAAAAAGCTTCTATTATAAAAATGATGCACGTAGCGTTCCTTCACTAAATCTGGCTTAGATTGCAAGTTACTTCAGTTATTTGATAGAAATAAGTCTAAGCTTTTTGCTGGGCTTAGCGCGGATGATCGCATATGCGTAGGCTTAAGCTCAGTCTTGCTTAGACACAGGCTTACAATGCGATGCAGAATCCAGTAATCAAAATTACTTCTGCATTGCGGTAAGGAAATAAATACCCTTTTTTCTAGTACATGCGCGAATATTTGTAGCAACTGCATTTTTCACAAAAAAATACCGAAAAAAAAACAAATTTACGCCTTATTCAAACTCCCAAACTTCGTCTGACTTCTTCACTCTTATTTGATCGAAAAGCGCCTTTCTCTCTCGCCGTTCTCCGAATTTTGAGCGTTCCTTCGACGATAAAAATCGCTTCGTATTTTGGCTGTTTTTGCAGAATGCGAGCTAATATATTTTCAGGAATTGAGAATATATTACATATTATCTCGCCGATGTGTATTCAAAATCTAAAGAAAAGGTGGGCGTCGCACTGAATTTTCATTGTTAAAAAAACAGCCTGTGGCAGGACTTGTATTCTTCAGTTGGCAATCTTTTTACAATTTTAGCTTGTAATACCAAAGAAGCTGTATCGAAGCGCTGCTTCACAAAAGGCGACCAAAAAATATAAAAATCTCCGCCGCCTTTTTTTCGTTGTTAGCTCACGTTATAACTCCAAGTTCCCAAAAATACATTGCGTGCCGCTTAATTATTTAAGTTACCAAAATTACAACTTCAGATTTTTCGTTTAAAAACTACAGTAGTCAAATAGATTAAGTGTAAACTACAATTTTTTTACTATAAAGACTCCCAGACAAAAAATGGAGCACTCGCTGAAAACTGATCACAAACTAAAAGATTGGCGTCATTTTTGCAATTTCTTTGTTACAAAACAAAGCGTGGCTAAAATATTGGCATATCAAAAGGAAAACGAGAGATACTATTAATATTATACATACGACCCACCGAAGAAGGGAAATGTTTAGACAAACGCTCACACGGCGCAAAAATTCACAAAAAGTAAAAGTAAAACAAATAAAATTTGAGAAATGACAGTCAGCCAGCGTTGCAGTCAAGGGCACTGCGGAGACTTCAAGCATTGACGAAAAGTAATAGATAATTCGTCGAAGGACTGCGTATGATTAGGCGATGAATGAAGCGGTCAAATAAAACGGAGGGATTCCTAGAAAAGTGCTAAAAACTGGAGCTTGGCGTTAGATCATTGTCAAGGGCTGTAAAATTATACGTATGATATTCCTTTTCTTATGCTTATTTTGGGAAATTTTACCGCGTTTTTTTGAAGTCGATCAAGATATCAAAAAAGGAGGAGTCTTAGCAGCTTGCGCAAAATATGCGAGCGACGCGTATCATAGGTCAAATAAAAGTTTTACCTTGCTTGTCGAAATGTGTTTGGAAGGTTATAACAACGATGCAAGTCTAAACGTCCGCAGAATGATGTTGATCCTCATATATTGTCGAATGTGTTGCTATATCATACTAGACCTTAAACGACCAGTACAGCTATTTTTGAACCACGGTTTTACGGCTTAGAATACGAAATGCCCAAAAAATTACTTTCCCAATTGTACCAACAACAACAGCAAAAAATGTGGTGATTTACTTGTGTTCTATAGTTTACTCTATTTGAAATTTCGTTGGCTTTGTTTTGGTAGAAGAATATTAAAAATTTTTTTAACATTTCACTTCCCAAGCCGTAAAACCGTGATTTCAAAGTAGCTGTACTGGCACTTTAAACAGTTCAGGAATTGGTCAACGTAGCACGTGACCCGTCAAGGTCGGTTCCGTAAACCGGAACCTGAATAAATTGCGATTGATGTGTCAATTTTTTATGTGTCATCAAATGTTTTGTGCATTAGCTCTTCACATCCAAAAATAGTAAGTTTAAAGGGCTTTATATGGTTTAAGTGGGCTACTCCGGTATGCTTTACATTGCCCAATTTTTACTACAGTAGGCTCACAGAAAATACATAACGGGAAGTCACCACAGATTTCCTAATGAATTGCCGGGTTTTTATAAGCAAGACTCACTCTAAATTTAAAAGGACAATTTACCAAAGAATGCACTATTAATCAAGACTTCTTTTATCACGGTCACGCGGTAAATTATAGTCAAAACTTTTTCCCTAAATTAATTGGTCATGTTTTTATGGTTTAAACGCATTTGGACGCGTGCAATGACGTTTCATAGGCGCTTAATTGTATTATGTGTTCAATTTCGGACAGCGGAAATCAAAAGCAACAGTTCGTTCGAAGGGCTAATGGACTTTGATGCTGAGGAGCCACTCTGCGTTGCGGCTGTTTAAATTGCAATCAATTTCATTTGATTCCGTGACCGCAATTATGGTAGGTTTGAAAAAACGAGGGTATTTTTCGAAGGGGTTTACTTGCTCAAATCTTGTTATCTATAACGAATCAAACATGTTCTCTTGAACCACAATTGCAAAACCGCAAACACATTTTAGGAAGTGCACAGATAATCACCTTAAAGGGCAGGAGAAATATAAACATGCTAAGCTTAAGTGCACAAATTTCTAGAGGCTTGTGGGGGAAGACAATCCGGTAATAAAACGGATCTTAAAACAGCTATGACCACAGATAAAGAAGACAAAGTTCAGGGCACTGCGTTTGGAAGAAGACGAAGCATTTTTACAACCTAACTTAGCAATTTAGAGCTGTAATATAGCTGTATGTTCGTTTCGTCAAATCCACGAATAAGTTCCCGAAATAAAACATGTAGCTTTACGAGAACATTACTCACAACCGGCCATAATTTCAAAAAAAAGTGGTTGAAATACAGGGCTTGCCGGTCGGTGAACGTTTCGCTGCTAGATATCCTCGAATCTGGCGTCCTGTAAAAACTTTGGACATCGCTTAAAAAAGCCTGCTTTTCGATTTTTACACGGCAGGTCAAACTTTGGCACTACTGTATTCTTGGGTCTAAAAATGGGCACGGTACCTTGGAAAATTTAATCAATGTGGCCTTTCGTTACAAATAGATATAATTTTGAAAAATCTTTGGCGGTTTTTTTTGGCTAGCCGGGAAACAATTTTGCTTTCCAAAACCTTCCGGTCAATCGATAGTGTGTGTGCGAAACGTCTAAACGGTTCAGGAAATGCGCTGAATTGACGTGAGACGACACTTCTGAAACGCCTGTCCACGAATACATGTTTCCAATACTGTTAACATTTCGGTCTAAATATTCAATTATTCGACCAATAATTGACTCTTCGTTTGAAATCGCACGAAATCGATTTCAAAAGGCTAATACCGCATCAAATCGCCCACGGATAATGTTCTGCTCAGCTTTAAAGTTTGGAGTAAATTCATTTTTAAACCAAAAAATCGGATTCCATTTACAACCACAATCACAATAATGAATGAGGAAACATTATTTTCAGATTACAAGCTTATCGATCCGAATAAAACAGCAGAATCTAGGCTTTTAGGGAATTAGTGACGTAAATATCCGGCTTAAGTTTTGATCGCATTAATACCACCTACGGTAAATGTGGAAAGACTTTCGCGGAAATTCGAAAGCGAATCAAATTCAGCGACAAATGAAATACTGTACTAATACACAAAGGGCATCCATAAAATAATAAAAAAACTGGAAAATAAGAAAATACTTGCGTCCCACCAAGAGAAAAAAATAA